GAACGAAAATCAGAAAAAAGTGATCTTTTTGAGTGGCTTTTATTTTGTGAAGTACGGTCGTGCGGATATACCGGTAATGATTATATTCATTTTCGATAATTTCGACAATTATGTTGGAGGTGGCAGTGTACGCGACATTGTGCTCGCGACTTTCGAAATTTGTGCAACACCTGTCCTGTGACGAAGAACTGCGAGAGATCACGGACGGGCTGATAAAGTTCTACGATCATACAGATATCCCAGAGACGCATGATTTTGACTCAAAGCGGGTGGGACTCGCAGCAATAGACGAGCTTGTCTTGCTCACATTACACAAGCTGCTAAATTCATATGTACGCAATGCATCATCGATACTCCAAGAAAAAGTGTTCACGGCGTTCAGTCGTGCGATGCGGCGCTGTAAGCCTCGCATGGGTATCGGACAAGAACACCGCCAACTCAGCTTCGTACAAAGCTGTGTGCTGTATCTTCCGGCACCACCAGAGGCTGGTGGCGAACAGCTCCTTGAAAGCACGACACTTGCTACACAGTCAGAGGAATTAAGGCTTGCTATTTTGAAGAGTTTACGTGAGTTGTTTCAAGAAGAAAATCAACAAAAGCAGCTAATTCAGCATCAAGGGGAACTCCAGCACTTCTTCGCATACTTGGTGGCATCACTGCTACATATAGCACAACAGGATAGGTGTTGGAAGGCTTCGTTGGAAGCAATTGAAGTGCTAAAGCTAGTGCTGCTCTCAATTCGAGACCCACAAACTCTACGCCAGTATTTACCTGGCGTCATTGCTAATTTGTGGAAGAGTGCCAATGCACCACAACAGTCGTCCAAGGTGATAGTTGCTGCGTTAAATTGTTTTGCTATGATGTTGGATTTGTGCATCGGTGATGAAAAAATACTTCTTTTTGGAGATGTGAAGCAAGAGCAGCAAAAATTTACACTGGAAGCGATTCGACAATCTGTCAAAGTGAAAGGAAATCTTATTGGGACAAATGCATTAACTGAATCGCCATCAAGTGAGATTGACGAGTGGCTGCAAAAAGCGGCTATAAATGTGGATATAATTCTTTCCCGTATGTTTTCTGCTAGTGTTACAGCCGTTAATGGGACCAGTTTTGGCTCACCGCGCTTATCTTGGCGAGTTCGTTGTGCACTGGCACAACTCTGCGGTACAATAGTGCTCCAGTGTCGGCAAGCTCTTCAAATCTCCTTTTTTCGATGCTACGATGAGCTTTTGATCCTTCGAGGTGATAATATAGCAGTTGTTGCCAATGAAGCAAACTCCGTTCTTCAAAGACTGCAAGCGTCTGTATTGTCGCCTATAGAGCGTTTAAAGGTCATACCAGAGATGGCAGATCGGTTTCAGATGCTACTTTCCACTCTTGTGCTCAAACTTGGTGCGGAACATGAAGCGACGAAACTTCACTACGTGCACACTGTTCGCGGATACTTAGCATTTTGGGGGCCCGGTCTTACCCCATATCTTGATTCATCAATGGAAAGTATTTACTCCTCTCTCTGTCATGTCGTGACATTTGCTTCACTAGACGTTAACGTAGTTGTTCACCAAAAGCTATCAAATTTACCGGAAGATGACAAGAGCAGTGATGCCATTGCGACCGGATCCCTTGTTTCTGAATTTCAAAAGAGATTGCGCTTTTTTAGCGAACAGTCCTCAGTGAACGAAGTATTGATGATGTTGCGTGATGTTGGTGCCATCTCAACCCCAGCGGGCTTCATTGATTGCGCTTTTACAATGCTATCCGATTCACGCAACAGTGGTCACGTTGAATTAGGAGAAGCTGAAGTTGTGCTGGTATTAAACGAATTCTTGCGGGGGTACTGTTTCAATAACAGTAACAGCAACGAGGCTTTGGATGTCCATCTAATTGGCCGAATTCTGGAAGACCTACTAGCGCTGGACGTTTGGGAAGAGCAAAAGTCGCTATGTATTCATGGTTCTATTAAAAAGCGTGTATCTCAACGAGCCTTAGTGGTTGAGTGCGTTGGTGTGTGTGCAGAAATCCTTGGGGCTGAGTTTAAGAAATTCTTGCTTCATGTGCTGTATCCGCTGGTTGCACAGCTGGGGTCGCACGATGTTGAAGTGGAGCACGCAGCTTTGGCCGCGCTAGAAAAGATTTATTTTTACACGGGCTACAAATCTTTAGCGGCTCTTTTTCATGCTAACATGGACTATTTCGTAGATTCCTTATGCGCTCGACTTGAACAATTAGATGTATACCCGATGACTGCCTTTGTCGTTGAAGCCCTTCTACGACACACTCATTTGGCATCATTACCATTGGTCGATGAAGTGGCATCATCGCTTTTACGTAGTGTTGACTTGTACCAGGATTCATCTTTCGTTAATGGTCTGTTGCGTGCTCTTAGAAGTTTGCTGAGTGGTATTGTACATGATGCTGAAAAGGCTAAATTAAACAAGCAAATAGCAATTGGTGATGCTGAAGCTACTACATTAACGTCTTACTCACTTTTGGACAGCTTCATCCATGAAATGAAAGCTCTAATAACTGGTGGAACGGATAATCCCAATATCGACGCAGATATGGATGATGAAATACAAGAATTCGCTCAGAATCAGCTGGAGCCGCAAAGTGTGAAAGGGGCGCTGCCTGTTGAATATGATGAAATGGAAGAAAAAGATCAAGGAGGCTACTATTTAGTTGTCCTTGAAATTGTTGACAGGTGTGGTTATTTTCTAGTAGAATCTGATCCTATTGCGTGTTGCCTAGTATTATCGCTGATAAATGAGGGAGTGCGGTTCCTTTCACAACATCCAAAACAGTTTTTGCCACTTGTTGCTCGGATGTGGCCTGAGTTGCTGCCTCGACTACGTGTGGACAATCGTGCGATTGTCACTGGTACTATCAATGTCATCTCTACCGTAGCAGAAACAGCGGGTGATTTCGTGGGAGAACGATTTGTGGAAACGTTGTGGCCAGTACTGCAATCTCAAATGCAATCGATAACATTTGGTATCGATGCGCAGTCGTCGCAGCTCACACGTTCTATGCTATTACTCAAGAAGGTCGCAAGTATCTTCGATGCACGATCGCATGAAGCAAGCAGTGCCAATGGCTTGCTAAGAGAAAACGAATTTAGCGCTGTTAGCGGAACACGGAAAACGCAAGAAACTCGACAATTGTTGGCAATTCTTTCTTGTTTGACCACAATTTGCAGGCAATCCGAGACGCTTGCTCAGCTTGTGCCTGCAATCACACGCACCTGCAGCAATTTCTTGAATAAAGAAGCGCCACGCGAGGTCGTTGAAAAAACTTCGGAGCTATTTGAAGCCTTAGTGCAATTGAATGGTGACGAAGTGTTCTGCACTGTAGCTCCATTGGCTAACTGGGTGCCGACAGCACCACCCTGCGAGCGTTTTTCGGAGTTTGTGCCTGAGGCAATTCTGCGATTCTATCAGGGCCATTTGTCATCTATGGACGTGCAACCAGAATTTTGTCGAAATAACGCTTCCATCCTAATGAATCGCCTGTTCAGTTAATTACACTTTCTGATCAAACACTAATCTGAAGAGGATCAAATTGTATGCAATGTCGCAAATCATTGCAACTGAAACAAATTCATATGTTAAATGATAGCTATACAGCCACCTGCGCACATTCGCTGTAAGTCTAGCCGAACATCCCACCCATGTTACCTGCATATGCCATCGGTCGAATTGGAGGGTGCTCCTGTATCAAATACAGCAGTAATATTGTAAGAATAATCACCAAGCAGCTCCTTGTTGAGAAAACATACCACGGCAACGAACTGCGTGAATCGAGGCTGCATGTCTCTTTCAAAACGAATGATCGCGCCTTTGTTGCCCATCTGGTCGCAATAGTTCGGTGCGCTAAAAACAGTAATGCACTTTCCGTCGTGTTCTACTAAGTAACCTTCATCTTTGACCTCGTGTGAGCGCACAAGAAGATCTACAAGTCGAACAGAACGGTAATTTGTCATAATAAAATTCAAGCGAAAATTTCAGGATAGGAAAATGATAAAACTCACTCAGTTTGTTTCGTTCTAAGAAAGCCTTTGTAACATCAGGTCCGAAAGAAAGGCCAATCCCGCGCTTGCTGGGGCCACGACCTAGAAACGGCTGTGGATCGCTCCACATCAAATCGCTCATAAGTCCACCATCCGGTGGTTCACGATTGCGATCAATCTTTTCGATATCAGCCAGAGTCACAGTATCGTCGCTAAAAAGGCCGCCGTGCACAACAAGGACCTTCTTTTCAATTACAGCTGCAAGAGGCAGCCAGTTGAACACTTCAGTAAAGAGCTGCATGACCGTCTCATCGTATTTATGCTTCACCTCGCCCTCAAACCCATATATTTTGTTCATATTTTTAGACTCATGGTTCCCACGCAATAAGTGTACATGGTTTGGGTACACGAGTTTCATAACAAAAAGTGTCATGACAACCTCGAACGAGAATGAACCTCGGTCGACAAAGTCACCATTAAATAAATATGGGTTGGATTCGCTAGGCAGTCCATTAAGCGAAAAAATATTGCAGACGTCGTAGAATTGGCCGTGGGTGTCTCCACATACTGTAAAGTGCGCGTCAGGATCGTCAGCTGGAAGCGATACGTGCACAAGAGATGGCAAGGCACAAAGCATTTCTTTGAGCTTCAGTAGGATTTGGATTACAAACTTGCGATGTAGGAGCTTTCCACGTTTAAAGCGATCCATAAGAGCCACAATAAAGTCTGGCTTGGTCTGAGTCACGTCTTCCGGAAGGCACGGTCCATCGTACGATGGATCCACAACCAACGTATTTACGTCAATCGTCTCTGAGAGTGGCCGGTTGCGCTCCGACTGAATCGCAGTCGCGAATGCTGCCTCCTTGATGATCTTCTCGCAAAGCTTAAGCTTGGCACGCGCGTCACGATCCTGTGGTTTCATGCGTACTACAAGACGAAAATCTTTCAAAGCCTTTTTGTGGTGGCCGAGAGCCAGCTTTGCTGAACCACGGCGATAGTACGCTGCGCATATGTCAGTCAGTAAGTGAGACATACCTTCACCAAATGCAGCATAATGTAGCAAACCTTTGGCATAAGTAGCATCTAGCTCAATGGCGGCTGATGCATCGTCAATCGCTAATCCGTAGCTCTCACTCTTAACGTGTGCGGCCGCACGGTTGGCATAAAAGATCGCGGTGGGCAACAGCTCAATGGCTTTCGTATATAGCCCAATGGCTGTTGCGAACTTGAAGTGTTCCAACGCTTCATTACCCTGTGCTTTATAAGCGTCTGCTTGCGTGCGAGTCGCGTCCGAAACAGCGTGGGGTCCGGCTTCCGTCACGCCGATGCTGGCCATCACTTTTGTTTCGGTGCTTTTGTAGAATCCTTGAAATACTCGCATTCGTCATGCAACCTTATATCCAGCATGAGATAAAGACCGGCCTGAAATCCAAGTTTGAGAAAGATCATGGAGGCACCAGTTCCCATAACTGTGGTGCCGCCGCAAGACAATCCAAGCCGTGTGCTGGACTTGCACGACATTATGGACGAATTGCCGATGCTTGCCTCTCTAAAGGAACAGAAGTGGATGGCTAGACTGCCGCGCAATATTTTCTACAAATTAAAGAAGGATTCGCACGATAGCGATGGCTCGGACTCAGCGCTACTCTCGCCCGATTTTTTGCCAACGCCACGAGTATTAAGTTGATATTTTACAACTGATACGTTTTAGGCTGACTGTGAATGTGTTACCAGACAGCTAGAGCATTGTCGGTGCTGGTGCCACAGCCGAACGAGGAAGTACTGGAGGCGTTGGATGCGCGATACTTCACTGCCAGCTTCGACCCTGTCGCCCACATGCTAGTACGAATCTTATTAATTCAGAAGCTGCTGTACGTATATTTTTACGGGTGAGATGTACAGGAGCATATGCCGGAGAGTAAGAACGAACTTGACGTGTTCTTGCGAACTGAGATCAGTGCGGTGGACATAGCGAAGGACGTGATTGTGACCAAATTACAAGACGAAGTGCGGGCAAACTACAGTGCACTTGTTCAAGGTATGAAGGTTGTGCAAGACGTAGACCTTGATTTGGTTCGGGCGCATGTTCATGTGAAAAACGGACGTCGCTTGCTCGCAACAGCCAAAAGTAATCTCATTCTCAGGTGTTGACCGACGAACTGATTACTCAAAGAATAGAAACCTCACTCCATACGTATTTTGCTTAAAGCTCGCTGGAAATTGTGAAGACGAAGCGAAACCGCGATAGGGTTTGTGAGGTAAATTACACATTTTGGCTCTTGATCCGTAAGTGAGCACACTCACAGTAACTACTGACAGATAATTTATTTGGGCTCGCAAATAGTTCAACTGCTTAGCGACATGAAAGAGATGAATCTCGCGTTTCAAGAACATCGATTTATCAGTGCGGTAGGTGTACGGAATGCTTTTTTGTAGCCTTGACTGTTAAATTCATTAAAATATATGGCACAGGTAGACATTTGCGTTGATCTTAGGAAAAGACTGTCACGCAAGGAGCTTGAGGGTGTTAGCATCTTACGTGACATTCGACCTCAATTGCAAGACTTTATTCCTCTACTACGGGCACAGTTCGACCACGTGCGTTTTGCTCCTTTCTGAAGGATTTGGCCAATGATGATAGAGATTTGTTTTGTGTGCGTAGTCTTTGCGGAAAGTTGCTGAAAAATTTGATCTTTTCGAGTACAAAGAGCTACTGCAAGCATATATCACTTTGGCCGATCATTCTGAAAATTTGGGTTTTGAGTTCTCATCTATCACGCTAAATGATGTGCTTTCAAAAATTCCGGATATTATTGTGCGCTCGATCGATGACATGACCGTTGAATGTATGCATCAAGTTTTTGAACCCAAGTCGCTCGAAAAGTATCGACCAGATAGTAAGATGATTTCGCCGCTTACTGTAAGCGGTAACAATAGAGATGTACTGTCTGACGCAACACCGTCATCACGAATAGTTAAAAATGTGAAGCGACTATATGAACGCCTTACCGACCTGATGCACACGTACTATCTACTGGTACAATGGCATCGCGATCCGTTTAATTCGCTAAGTGATGATATCGCTTACCTCCATCGTTGCGGAATTGACGACGATGATGACAACGACGATGACAGCGATGAAGAAGACAGTCATGATGAAAAAAAAAATAATTGTGGTCACTCTTGTAAACTCAGTATCGTAACGACGACTTTGCCAGAAGCAGCTTCACAGCGTTTGAGGAAAAGCACATTAGGACATTCTGGATATTTATATGATCAGGTGCTTTGCGATACGGGTATGAACCTGCTTAAATACCGCAAAATCGTATGGGAAAATATTCAGCACAACGTACTAGAAATGTTTGAAAAGCTTGACTTTACCAATGGTTTGTGTCATAAATTTAAGCATGCTTATGTATTCTTGACATGTTGTTATCTGCTACCAAGAATACAAGATGGAGCATGTAATTGCTCTTTCGCATGCAACGTCGGCATTTACTGAAATTGGGGAAGAATTTACGGGGACTCCCTCGTCAAAGTACGTTCTGTAGTATAATCTTCTTTACATCTGTTGATGCACTAATTTTGTTATTGTGATGGTCAATCGGCCAGAATTCGATCAGTTGTTCGCATCAAATGTGAGCAATATTTGCACGAAGTTCACAACGATAATATCGAATTAGCTCGAATGCTGTTCGAGGCAGAAAACTGGACTCGCGTCACTGCATCAAAGGCAGCCGGAGACGACAATACAAGTATCCTTCGGCTGATCGAGATTCGAAGTGGATACGTTTTTAAGCGAAAAATTCCAGGAGATTCGACAAGCGGTCCTATACATTCAAGACGGGTGTTTCCTTCATTTTACAATGAAGGAAATCCATTTAGTGCTTCCAATTCGATTGAGTGGCTAACAATGAAACAAGGCATTCGTTTTGACCATGAAATTGACGCAATTGGTGATAAGGTGTCTCCATGCCTCACTAGTAATCAAGATACCTTTCCCATAAATCCAAGCGAGTCCGACTTTGTATTAACTTCATCGAGTCTCGCTGGCTTTGTCCGGTAAGTGCCTGTTATTTTGGTAGTTACGTGGTTTTAATAACCGTTGGATTCAGACTCTGTGGTGTCCACTTAAAAATGATGGAGCATCTTCCTCATACTGCTTGGGACATTTTTCGCTCCCTAAATCATCTGTTTGAGTTTAACCTTTACGCTACTTTCACCAGCTTTTTCTCCGCGGACGATGCAGCAAAATTTCTGCAGGGTATATGCGGTTTTGATAAACTACGCGCTGGTATTTGTCGCATTGCAGATGACATGAACAATGGTGAGATACTGCTTCGGGCGTCAGCTGTAATTTTACCTTTTGACAAAGCAGAGAAGGGTCAACAGCTGGACTCACCGCAGTCGAGGAAAGTTACCTTGCGCAAGGTGATCCGAACACCCACTGCAGTAAAGTATGCAGATGTAGATAATTTGTACGCACTAGCTGAGAGATCGATCGCATGTGAAGCAATTGTTGGTCAAAGCAGATTGCTAGATGCAATGGAAGACCTAGCTCGATCGTATCTTCCAACTCGGTATCATTGTCTTATGGATGAAATGTACGAGCGAAATCGCTTTATGGCACGAGAGCTTCGTGATTTCATGTATAGTACGATTGCAGTGAGGCTTGTGGATATTCCTGCACTGGTGACTTCCGTTTCAGCAGTGTCATGGAATATTTCGTATATCAGCAATCAGCACAATGAGTATATTGTGCACTTAGTGCAGAAGTGTGGAGAAGCGTGGGGAAGTCTGCAAATTTTGGCGGATGGATCGATCCCGTATGACGCACGAGTAGATATATGGTTGGAAATGGTACAAACTATCATGGATACTTTATTGCAGGCGTTTTCAACAATTTCCAAGCCGACACCCCAAGGCCGCGCTTTGATGTTGCTCGATCTACATGCTCTGCAAAATGGTGTTGACTTGATTAATGATGTCAGTTCTCGAGCGCTGCCACGTGGGCGCGCACATGTAGGAAATTACATAAAAGCATTCTACTACGATGAAGACGAGCTTCTCAGGTGGATTCAGACTAACAAGGTACGTTCCCACATTGGATTCAAGTTATTTATGACCTATCTCATTTTCGTTTTAATACAGAAGCTTTATACAAGGGTCCAGTTCGCCAACTTACTTAAAAATGGCATCGGATCGACGCTTGAGACATCGAAACTACGCGAACTTGTTTTAAAAGTTGACACGATTATAACCACCTGATGAAGTTATTGTCTTTTATACGAATATTTATACAAATTTATAATTGTAGTAGTGGTCAGCTCGTCATCGCCTAACAAAATTTCAAAACTTCTGGGCTGTATTATTCTCGGGTCCGTGTGCTGTCCGGATGTCAAATTTTATCCTCAGCAAAACGGGGGTACTCTGTAGAGAGAAGTAGCTCGTTATTTCGCTAAGGCGAGCCGCAGTTCTCTTTGAACCTGTGGTTGTGGAACACTCTCAACAACTAACAGCAGTAGTTTTTCTGCTTCTCCCTCGCCAAAAGTTGATCGCACATAATCTACAAACGCCTGACCGCTCATCTCGTGGTTTCCAAGTGCCTTAGCTGCCTGTTTAAATTCGCACACAATTTGAGCGTTAAAATTTGAGAGAGAGTTCACACGCTCCAAGATTTGTCGGTTAGCTTTTTTTCGAGAAAGGCGCCCTGCAACGGCAGGGTCACTGGCTTGCCCGCCAACTTTTTCAGTGTTTGCGAAGCTCAGTTGCTCTCGATCCACTAGCGAAAGATTTGCAAGTACATTATGAGTATTTTAATCAAGACAGCGTTGTCGTACCTAACTCACCATTTTTAGGCCGTTCGGCCTCTTCCTCTTTTCCCAAGCCCAAAAAATAATTTTGACGCGCTTTCCTCTCGTTCATGTCCTCACCGTCAACTGAGGCACCAAGAATGCCGCCAGCAACGCATAGCGCTTCACGTTTTTCAGTACTCTTTATTGAGCGTACAAAGAGCTTCAAAATCCATTGCGCAAATTCTGTTTCGTACTCGTTCTGCAAAAACTCCACGAATGGTTTCGCAGCTGCAACGGGGTCATTTTCCTTGCGAAAAGCACGAGCGCATTTTCTAAACCGCTTCAGCTGATGCGGTCCACCGCGCAAAGTGAGTTCTTCTTCGATCTCAATCCTGTACATCTTTCTTCGTGAGCTGTGGTTGTCTCCATTGTCCAAAGCACTAACCAAAGATGCACGGTCAACTGAGCTTGAAGAGCTGCGTTGTATTCCTCGAGAAGACAAGAAACTTCCCATACTGGGCGAAAGCAATCCACTGCAATCCATGTACTGCTTGGCATCAATAAAATCAGCCAGTACTTTACAGCTTCCACATTTCGAAAAGTCTGTGGCGTCCGGAAAGAGCATTACCCGCTGCATGTAAAAATCGAGCTCGGCACGGCGTTTTTCAAGAAAAGTTGACGTCTGATCCTGATGAAAGAAGGCACGTACGCGATGGCCAGGAGCAAAGGCTACGGTGACCATCATTTTAGAAAATGGTGACTTTCGGACGGCGCGCATCTGGTTGTCAAAGGCCTGAAATTCCTCGTAAGTTTTCCACAGGCTCCACTGCACCGCGTCTGCAGGGTTGTCATTGTTTCCCCACGCTTTGTTCAGGCGGCAAAACAATTCAAACTGCAGCAGATGATGTTATATTTAGGCAGTTAGCGCTTGCGATTTCAAGCAGCACATGCAAACTCATTTAGCATACCACAGCAGGTTCTCCGCTCGTCTGCGTGGCATTGCGTACATGAAGCTTGAGAGGTGGCACGCGCAGTAAAAAATCAGGCGGTGTCATAGCGGTGAAAGTCAAGGTAGACGGTGTTTCTGACACCGTGACACGCGGCAGGGGAGTCACACTATGGGAAGGTAAGGCGCGAAGGTATACCGAACGAGGTGGCGATACCCGACTGATTTGGTTCGGCTCTTGAAATAATTGGGTTTTATCGTATTCGGAAGCAAGAGTCAGAACCGCTTTTTTACAGTGTTGGTACTGCATTAAGATTGTGATGGGATCCTTTATTAACAAATCTCAAGCACGTACCTTTTTACCGCAACAGTGTCACCATAGGGCGAAGAATTTAGGCTGGGAGAGCGAGCCAGTCCCTCGATCACCGGATATTGATTGACGCGACACTGGCTATTAATAGCAATACCATGCTCTAGCTCGTCGCAGCGTTTTCTTTGAAAATGCTTTGATAAAATCAGCACAATGATACAAGCATACAAGACATGCGGTATTGAGCTCGTGTCACACTTCCGTTGCACTATAAAATGGACTTTCCATATACGGTATAAAAAAAATTTCAATCGTCTATTTGAATGTCAAGTCAGAACATTTCAATTAATATTTTAATTGGACAGTGTTTGCATGTGGTATGCTTATGATGATATCTCACGATTTATCATTTCAAACTCTATAAAGTTTCAGTCGTGATTTTTAACCAAGTCAGATTTACATCTGACCTCGTCACATTGCCAAAAAATACATACTTTAACTATCCTTCAGACAATTAAACTGTAATGCTCTGTTGAAAATCCCTCAGCAGCTAAAAAGGTTCATTAGCCAAAGCCTTGTCTGCAAGTTTAGCATACTCACAACCTTTCAATAGCGCGAAATTTTAAAAACTGCATCGCTAGAAAGTCTTTTCTTTTCTTTGAGAGTTTTGTAAATGCTGCCAAAATGGACATGTGTGTGTAGTTATTGTTATCTTAGCTCGCGCAACGACAACCAAAACTCGTTGTAATTTGATTTCATATCGCTCGTTTTCGACCGGATTCGAGAAGCTTTTCTGTAATGCTAAAAAAGACTAACTTCAGAAACCAAACATTTGAAGACTTTTCTGAGGCCTTGACAAAATGCAATATCTATGTAATAATTTCAAAATTTGGGTGGTGTTAATAAACACCAAGATAATTGCGCAGTGGCAACAAAGTCTTGTTACCAACTATTATAGTATCAGTTATCGCAGCAATATACGTCCAGACAGACTTTTAAGGAACGCTGCTTTCACAATTACTGGAAAACTTAAGCGGATGTGAATTTGGTCACGGCCTTCGTGCCTTCGGACACGGCGTGCTTGGCGAGCTCACCCGGCAGCATGAGTCGCACAGCTGTCTGAATCTCGCGGCTCGAAAGTGTTGACTTCTTGTTGTAGCGCGACAGCTTTCCAGCCTCTGAGGCGATACGCTCGAATATGTCGTTTATGAATGAGTTCATGATCGACATTCCGCGCTTACTAATACCCGTGTCGGGGTGAACTTGACGTAGCACTTTGTAGATGTAAGTAGAGTATGATTCGACACGCTTTTTTCCCTTGTTTTTACCCTTGCCGGTCGAAGCAACTGTCTTTGCTGCCTTTTTTGAAGGAGTCTTGGCCATAGTTAGTGTAAATGCTTGGTGAATTGAGTTATGATTGTCCATAGGCGGCCTATCCGTCGCATACTGTACTCACGAAACTAGTTGATACGACTCGCATTAACATTTATGATTGGCGGAGCTGCTTTTGACAATACTGATTGGATGTTAATTTTTATTTGTGCTTTTAATTGGAATAGCGATAGGTACAGGCCACGTTTCACATTTCAAACCACTATAGCGATAGTCAAATGCAAATATAACCATTGTACTTAGATATTCTACGCACTTCACCACTTCCTACTTACTCCCATTGATTTTTGATGGTAGGAAAGCATTGTGAGGATGCTGAGAGGATGCTAAACTCGTAATTGTCAGCTTAGCTCGATTAACTTGCGGACACGCCTTTAAACTCGCTAATCTTCATCCGGAAGCGATTAATGTGCACATTCCACTGTCTTCCTACATGATTTTCCTACATGAAGCCAGATCCTTTAATATTCTGCTTCAAAATAATATCTTTGCAGGCATTAAACACAACTTGGACATTTTGCGAATCAGTAGCACACGTCACGTGGTGATAAACCTCCTTCTCAGGCTGGCGATTTGTTTCCATAAACTTTCCTAGAAAGTACTGGACACCCAAGTCATAATCGCCAATGCCACCGGGAAAATCCTTGAAGACGTCTACAGTCTTGGGATCCACTTTCTTGATTTTGTCCTGAAACAGGTCCTTTTTATTCAAAAATAAAATCATCGCAGAGTTCGAAAAGAACTTGTTGTTTATAATCTCGTCAAATAAGGTGATTGCCTCAATCATACGATTCGTTGAAGCGTCCTCGTACAAAGATTGATCGTACTCACTTAGCGCAGCAACAAATATCACTGCAGTCACGTCCTCAAAGCAGTGAATCCATTTTTTTCGCTCATTGCGCTGTCCACCAACATCGTACATCACAAATGTAGCACCATCAATCTGATACCTTTCTTCGACAATACCGGATGTACGCACACGAGCGTAAAGCATATCCTGCTGTGTTGCTGCATAATCATCTCGCATGATACGATCGAGGTCATTAAAGTAGTACTTAACCGACTCGATGATTTGAAATTCGGCTCGACGGTTCCAGGTGGCAACAATTCCAGGATCCATCCACAAGTTTTTTATTTTCTGACCTATCACAGGGTTAACTTCTGCCTCATCACTCAGCGTGCGTATATCCTCAAAATCCTGTACGCACGCCACTTCGCCTTTCAATTTCATTTCGTTGCACTGCTCAATCAACATCTTCATGGATGTCACTACATTATTGTAGATTATCGGCGTACAGTGTCGCTTCTCATCTTCAGTTAAAGCTGCGCCAAACAAAATCTACAACGAAATAATGTGTAAGTCTGTTTGCAATAGTGTTACCCGTACAATAATAAGCGAACCTTCATCTGTTTAAACACCGTGCTCTTGCCTGACTCTCCTGCACCAAGCAGCAGCAATTTCACCTTCTCTTGCTCAACACGGTGAGCTTCCTCATTCTTAGCTTCAATATCGCGTGACTTAACCATTGCTTCTCGATCATTTTCGCTCAACTTGGAAGCACAAAGTCCCATGTTAACTCTAAATCACTGTCGAAGACTATCTAAAAGCTGCTCGAGCAACGATGGGGGCAAGGCGTAAACGAGCACGGATTAGCGGCTCTTTTTCTGATGCGCGTGGGGTTTCTACTATCGGAGTGAGAGGTTGCACAAGTTTTCCAAAAATGGCAGTATACCTATAAATGAAACCCACATGCTCTTCACTGCTTCCTCTTTCACGGAAATAACCCTCGTCTTCGCTACAACTTGCCTCTATTAATATGGTTTCAGCACTTCATCTAATTGGCTTAAACATTAGCTCTGGGCATCAAAAGACTTGAGGCTGAGGCTGAGGAAGCTCACAGGGTTGAGACCGGTCCATGATTAGGTTCTAGAGCTTGTCCGACGTCCTGGGATTAAACCGACGTATTAAGAGTTTATACCAGTTTGCAAAAAGTGTGAGGTGCAAAAAAGACATATGTCCTTTTTTGTTCAGTGCACAGCCATAAACGCTTGTATTTGGCGCTGTTTCGAACGATATTCGCTGCTTTGCCGTAGAACGTGAGAATGATATAAGACTTATTACTACCCCCAATAGCTCAGTGATAGAGCATTCGCGTAGTAAGGGGAAGGTCGGTAGATCATTTTGTCTAGGAGTATATTTTACGTAGTCATGACGTGATGGGCTGTACTTCACTGCTCACTGAATTTGCAATCCGACAATTCGCTTCTGGCAAATTGATGATATGTCAATGTTAACGCCTCCAAGCGGGGTAAGTACCCAATAACACTGTAGCTCTTCGGTAAATTAACGAAGACCAAAAGTATTTGGTGTACTGGCACACAAGGTGCGATAACTTTGGGATTGATCTCCGAAAAGGCAACTGTGAAGAATGGGTCGACGGTATTTCTAGCACTCTTTAGGGAACATTTGCTACAGTTTAATCGCTTTCTTCAAGTCCTGATACGTGAATAACGTGTCTACCACCACTTCACTGTGCTACCTCATATAGAGAATGTAGAAGTCTCCTGCTAGCTCTATCTCGGTATATGGTGCTGTGAATTCTCGCCAAACGAAACGCAAAGCTATTTCGTGCTCGCCTCAAACAAAGAGGCCTTACTAAACGCTAATCTATCCGAAGGTGCTGCCAATTGTTACGCATCGTCTGCAGCGGGGCTGCCGCTGCAAAATGCTTGAGGAAACATACTTTAGGTCACCGACCTTCCTTCTTTACAAGAACCAAGTATGAGTTAGCGGATCGCAATCCGCTTAATCCAAAAGTGATTTTGCCTTCCCAGAGCTAATCGATCCTTCGGTTTAAATTCCAAACTGATTATTTTTATCCTAATGTTAAAAGTTTAGATTTTCCTACATATACTAAATATATATAGTAAAGTCTAAATACATGCATAACTACTGGCTACCTAGCCCCGTACCGTATTCTTGTTTGAATGTGTGGTCACATCATGCACATCTCGTGTGACACACACAAACCTCCTCTGTTATTAGGGTTCGTGTAAGCCCGTTACATCGTCGAAAACTTTTAAGCATTCGTTTGAAGCCCATGTTTTTATTTAAAAGATTGCGTTGGTAAGCGATGTTCTAGCAAATTCTTAAACCGCCGAACATCAACGACTGTGCCGGCTCGACCAAGGCAACAGCAAACCAGATTGCCAGTGTAACAGGATCACACAGGATGGTGTGATCACACAAATGGAGTGGGTCGCACAATATGTGTGATCACACAAATGGAGTGGGTCGCACAATATGTGTGATCATACATGGTGTGAGTTACGCAAGATGGTGCGACCACATAATGGTGTTGCTATAGTTAAACAAAAAGGCAGTACGTGGCTGGAACAGCCAGTAGTTATATATATATTCAGGTTTTACTATAGTAATAGGAAAATCTATAGATTTTGATATAGGCGGCTTTGCCTCAAATTAAACCGAGAAAAGCACTTTCATTTTTAAACGGAAGAGTTAATTAGCCTGGGGTTAAGGTTGTAGTTAGTCTTGGAGCAAGTAGATTGCGATCCGCTACACTCGTCCTACTTCTAAGCTTAGAAGGTCACCGAGCTTAGCTAAGATTCATCTAAGCGAAAGAGCTACGGCAACCCCGCTGCACTTGGAATTCTTGTAGTCAACCTACACCTGAGTCATTACGACTGACCCTCTCTAAGGATGTAGTTCTATTAGCACTAGGGCATGCAAGACATAATTAAAACTGATGTCTCTGCTTGATCCTGAGGGCGTGAAACTCCTCGCTTCGCAGGGAGCTGAAGTATTCTGCGCGTACCTAGAAGCGTTTTCGAGCTATGAAAATGTTCTGCTTGAGCAGAAAATGTCGGTGTCGACATCGTCAATGACGCCACCGTCAACAACGGATGACTCCTCCCGACCCAGGTCACTCATGGAGAGCGTCGAAGGCAAGGAGGGAGAAAATCTCCTGTTCTGGGTGAGAGAGGCCGAGATGGCTATGGCATAAACCATGCTCCAGACCGAGCAATAGCGCGTGGCGCTAGCTATTTCCAAGCTCGGTGGTCGAGCGCGAGAATGGGTTCTGACAGGCGGCACTTCGGTTGATGCAGAACAGGGCTGAAGCTGCAGCTCTTATAAGTGTTCACGCCGCCGAATCAGGTATATCGCGTGCGATTGCGTTTCCTTGCCGTCCGATAGGGCAATAAGGAATCGGTTGGCTTTGACCAAGTCTTATGTACTCTCATTGCCGGTATGACAGCCGATCCACTTCCCAAGGCGGACAGTAACCGTCTTTATGGGGGGCCACCGCGTTGGCGTGGTCAGAATGGAAGTCTTCCGTGTGCTTCCGTCTTCATTTGAAGAAGCAGTTGATTGGCATTGAATACGAAAATCAACTCGAAGTCGGTACGACTTGGTTGGAATGCACACCCTGGTAGCTCGTCGAGAGTGCCTGAGCCGATGAATCTCGGCTGTGCTGAGGTCGAGGAGGCAGACCTACGAGCTGCAGAGCAGCGTGTGAACACCCGACGGAGCTTTATCTGTAGAGACACCCGTCACCTTCGGTTTGGTTGTCCCTGGCGCAGGACGCGTCAAGGTTCATCGAACCGACGTCCCGTTTCTAACCAGTCTGGTTTGTCGTAGGGAAACGACAACACTAAGTAGGCGCGGGGTGTCCTACTGGGGAAGAACTGAGTTCTGTTGAGCCTTAAAGACTTAGAGTCCAGCAGAGCCTAGCCCCAAAGAGCTCCGAGCTCTTGAATGTGGAACGCGTATGCAAGCCGGGCTTGCTGGTCGTGGAAGCGACCGTGCAGGGCTATGAGAAGCCATGGAAAATCCTGATCGACTCTTGGGCGTCGGGCAATTATACTCTTCGATCCACGGCGGAAAGAAGTCAGTTGTATGCTGAGGCGCTAAGCGCGGTTGATTTACATCGTAACTGTTCGCTTTGCGATGGGGACAAATCTCACGGTGCCGAGGGTCCCTGTGAACCTCGATATTTTACAAATCACAGGATACCCCTTGTGAGGACAGCTTGAAATAATAATAAGCGCTATGTTCTGGTGGTCCATCTAGTCTCAAAAAGATAGGCACTTGTAGGCACATGTGTCAAACATCAAACTCACCCAGCATAAGGTGACGCCTTGGATTAACTTGCGGTTTAAAAACAATGCTGGCAGCCCATAACACCGGTATTGCAGTATTTTGGACAGTTCGGACAGGATAGTGTTGTCAGCGAACTGCCACCGGTGAGGATAAGCCAATTCTTGACCAAGACGTTTGCTTTCATGGCTTGCCGGTGGCCATTGAGATCCGCGCTTCGCAGCGAGATGGTCTGGAAGACTTTGCTTAAAGCTTGGCGCCAGATTAAACATGTCCACGGCTGACCTTTCCGTTGCGCGTTTGTGTGTGCGAGCTGCACAAGCGAGAAGCTTTGTCTGCGCAAGGTTAATTTGTTCATCTTTACGAATTTTGGCGAACAGCAAATATTTTTTGAAAAAAACAATGAGCAAAATAATTAGTGATATTAATAATCGAGCGAGAAGCCTTTATGGTGGCATAAGTGCGTTCGCATCAATATCTACAGTGCATTCGTTCACACAAGTCTTCGTACAAGATAGCGGTGCTCATAAAGCCAGCCAAGATGTCTTCTAAAGCTTATTTATCTATGTCAAGACTCTAATGTAAATTAAGAACTCCAGCAAAGTTTGTATCAGCACACCAATCGACGGTCCCACCTTCCGCACTCGTGCCGGCAGTGAACACCATAATAGCATGATCAATGGAATCTCCGTCAGTATGAAAAGCTCCGAGTGGTAATTGGAATCCACAAATGAGCTAGGAATCCACAAATTAGCTATGATTTGCTATTCGACGTGACAGCAATTGATCTTCCCCTGCGGAATGATGCCACCAAGGCCGAAACAAAACGATTGATCATGCGTTTTAAGCCCATGGCCACCCAATTCAACAGCGCACTAAAAGTATTTAGGGGTGAAAGCTCACAACTCGTGCGCCAACTCGATTGGTCTTATCAACTACTCCAGCGGACATGGATTTTGAGGTGACGAAAAACCTCGAGACTTCTCTGAGATAGGTTATTAACAATCTTGATGGGTAGCAAGTGAAAGTCAACACCTGTTTGCGGATTAAAGCGGCTATATAGTATCATTCCGACTTCTTTTGTCTGCCGTATGAAAAGCATGTGAATCACTTTGGTGTATGTGCCCACAACGGAATTGTAACTAGCTGCGACATTATTTCGAACTCTTAAAAGATCCTACTGTACTATTTTTTGGATTATTTTTTATGAGTTTTGTATATTTAGAAAAACATGTAAGTCCAGAGACGAAAAAGTACCCGAATGCATGGAAGAAGAGCGAAATTTATGATCCAATACAGCGTTTAAAGCATCCGTACAGACCCGTGGCGCGACATGTCTGCTGACTCACCCGTGAAATTAAGCTGGATAATTGGAACGAATTGAGGTACCACTTGATCGATCGAAATGATTTGATCCTGATCCATGGAAGCCATAAATCGTAAAAAGAACAGCGGTTACATACTCCGGTCCGGATCTATAATGTATATCTCAAGTTTATCTTTTGACAGGCGAGTGGCAATAAAGGTGAGCTGCTACTTAATGTTGCGTGTTTTGAGAGCTTGTCTCGCAGAGTAAATACGCAGTATTGAAATCGCAGCCTCTTAAAGGCAGTCCAGCTTTTATTTGGACTAGAACAGCGTACTGGCATGCTGTTTGTTAATCGCGTGTTGACAACAACCTGTGTTACTCCATAGTCCAATTTGATGTGTCAACAGCGGGACCTTACACAAATGTAATGCAAACGGGAACCTTCAGGTGGCACGCATAAGAGATGACTGTTTTTTGCATATCTTTTTTACAGTTTTCTACTGAAACAACATCTTCAATTTGGATACTTGGCTCTGGTCGAAGATTGCTTCTATTGGTGCTCGTGTGATATCTAAAATTCTTGCCTCGTCAAGGAAGAACGCCTGTGCGGCTCGCCTGTACTCGATGGATAAAGTGGTCTCCAGCACACCACAATCATCCGTGCATAGACACATGGGATAAACACCGAGCTGTTGCTCCTGGCCTCGCGCATTCGCGAGCAGCTTGCCGTGCGGGTGCGAAGTGAAGTCACACACGCACAAGTTTGATGTCTCATACTTTCCATTTGATAAGCATGTGCAGTCTTTGGTGCTGCGGTATCTTGCCAGCGTGTGCGCATTGGAGGTCAGACAGACTTCGATGGGAATTCGCAGCGCCAGCATTTTGGCGTAGAGGGGCTCTGATAGACAACAGGCGTGACCGAGTCGATCCGGCCGAAATGAGAGAATACGATTCGACTCTTCAACATCAAAATGCTCAGCAAAGTGAACGGCGATCTTAAGACCACCGGCTCGTGCACGTTCTAGGACTTTCTCAAAGCGATAAAATTCGGACTCTGGACGCTCTGAATTACCACTGAAATCGATACCCACTATAAATGGACACTTTTGCTCGTTCTTGCGCTTGAGCGCCATGCTCACGGTATTTTCAGCCAACTCAAGCGATTGGTTCCGGTTAATGCTCAGCAGCAATCGCACATCAATGTTCAGATCTTGTCGTGCTTGACACTCCTCAAGGGCTGCCACAACTTCATCCACATACTCTTCACGGCTGGCACTATCTCTCGGTAGTGTACGCGGTGTGGAACGCAACTCCAAATATTTGACGTTCTCTGCAGAAAAATCCTCTACTGTTTCAACAACAATTCGGCGAAGTGCACATCGACTAGTGACGACTTGGTGGATCAACTCAAACATTTCGAAGCATTCACTCAGACCGCGTTTCTTCGGAAGACACAAAGATTTTGTTCCGTTGCGGTCTGCCTCCTTTTTCAACAAATCTTCCAGGGTCTTTGGTCGAATGGACCCATGGATGTGTGCATGAAGCTCCACCTTGGGTAAGACCTTACAATACGCTGCAATCTTGTCGTCAACCGTTCCTACCTTGTCCATCGTACAGTTTAGTGTGCACATGGTGTGGTATCAAGAGTTTTAATTTTTAATTCACCAGTCTCTACAGTCTCTAAATACCAAGAGCACAATAACAGCACTCAAGTCCTCTTACTGTCTCTCCATGATTGACCACTTTGTTATATTTTCTAAGACTGGCACGGTGCTATGGTCACGCACGCTGTGCAAACTGAGCGGTGATCCTGTGGACAGTCTAATCAGCCGCGTCTTAATGGAAGATCGTGCTGGCGAAAAGAAGTATATCGAAGATGCATACTCCATGCAGTGGGTGTTTGAAAACAAGCTCGACCTGGTCTTTGTAGTAGTTTACCAGAAAATTCTTCAACTTTTGTACATTGAGGAGCTACTAGAACTCGTCAAGAAAGATTTCATTGCGATGTTCCCGCAACAAATTGCTAGAAAGACACCCGTGACATATGAAGCAAAGTTTACGAAGATTCTTAAAGCAACGGAGCTCAAATTTACGAACAAACTAATGCACAAGGGTCCACGCGCTTTCAATTCATCCAAAAAAGTGAAGGTCAAAGGTGTGACATCCAGCACGACGGGCAAAACGGCGTGTTCATCGCGTTCAACGACGACTTTAGAGGTGCGATATATATATATTCTTTCGGCAGTATGAATACTGGCTAAAGTTACGTGGTATTCTCCGATTGTGAATAAGTAGAGTAGTGAAGATGGATATGATAGCATCACGTCCGATGGGAAGAGTAAGAGCCTGGAGGAGCTGGAGAATGAAGCCGCTTTAAGTTCGAAGATACGCACCATGCGCACAGGACCGCGTTATACGAGAAAGGAGAAGGCCTTGAAGGAGCCCAAGAAAAGCAACAAGAAAATGACGATATGGGAAGACACCAAGGTTTCAACGAAGGAAGCTAAAGCGCTAGATCGCTCGAGAACGGTAACTATTTATATGTTGCGATTAAACGATGTTGCTGACTGATACAGGCATAAAATTGTAATTAGATTACAGCCGAAGAGGAGGAAGCGCAGCTTCGCGAAAAGCGTGACGCTTATATCGGAGTACGTTGACTGATTTCGCGGTTATTGCTGTATAAATCACAGTATTATATCCTTGTCTATGTAGGAGATGGATACCAGCGATTTTAAAGAAGTTTCCGAGACTGATGATGAGTCGATAAGCTCTTCTGGAGCAGAATCTGACTCAAGCCAGGGCGGCTGGAGCTTTTCAAAAACCCGTCTGGGTGATTTTCTGAATACAGTGACTGGTAACAAGATTCTCGAGCGAGAAGATTTGAAGTCAGTAATCACTCCGATGCATCAAATGGTTGGTTTGAAACTTTCTAAACGATTGTCACATTCTTACGCCTGTATATCTACCTTTTTGTAGTTGATTACCAAGAATGTGGCTTCGGAAGTTGCCGACGAACTGTGCGAGTCGGTCATCGCTACTGTAGTCGGCCAAAAACTTGAAAGCTTCACGCGCATCTCTACTGTCGTGCGCAAAGCTTTGGAGGCCGCTTTGCTGCGTATATTGACGCCAAAAAAGTCAACTGACGTTTTGCGAGAGATCTTGCAGGCTAGATCGGAAGGCAGGGCTTATAGCATTGTGTTCGTGGGCGTGAATGGTGTCGGAAAGTCCACCAGCTTGTCTAAGGTGTGCTACTATCTTAAGTCGAAGGGAATTAAGGTCATGATTGCCGCCTGCGATACGTTTCGATCAGGTGCTGTCGAGCAATTAAATCAGCACGCCAAGGTTTTAGATGTGAAGCTGTTTCAAAGGGGCTATGCAAAAGACCCCGCCTCCGTGGCGAAGGAGGCTGTGAAGTACGGCACGGAAAATGGATATGATTGCGTGCTAATTGATACGGCTGGTCGTATGCAAAATAATGAGCCTTTAATGCGTGCACTGGCAAAGCTTGTTTCAAAAAATGAGCCCGACCTAGTTCTTTTTGTCGGAGAGGCATTGGTGGGTAATGATGGCATTGACCAGCTTTCGATGTTCGATCGGGTACGTACTCTGGTATTTTGCTCCTCAATTCGGGTGGTGTCCTGACCAAAAGTTGTTTTATTTTACTTAAAGGCTCTTGCCGACTATTCCGACCGCCGTGAGCCGCACCGTATTGACGGCATTGTTATCACGAAATTTGACACGATTGATGACAAAGGTGCGTTATAGCTAGTGAGGAAACGTCAATTTTCGTGCGTCAGTGACGTTTCTTGCATTTATGTAGTTGGTGCCGCAGTATCGATGGTGTACAAAACTGGCCAGCCAATCATGTTTGTTGGCACAGGCCAAAAGTATACGCATCTGAAGAAGCTGAACGTGCGCACAGTACTTCGTCATCTCCTTCAGTAAGATTTTGTAAAGCTTTGCACGACATGCCGGAATTATCTACAACTGCACCATTTTATATCACCTACTAGTGATGCTTGATTTTTCAATGTATCATCTAAACACTTAAACAATAGATGATCAACACAATTTCTGTCGAAATCGTCATTGCTTGACTTCCGGTCCATCAGGATGCTGTGAAGCAACTCGCCCCACTCGTTAGCACTTTTGGTCACTACAATGGCCAGATCAAAGTATGCTAAGATACAGTATTGGATGGTAAGCAAAGTCGTGATTGAATAGACTGCAATTCCAGCCAACAAATACACAAAAAGCAGCAAGTCCGTACAACCACTGCCCTGGAATCCACTCCACTCTCTACACCTTTCCATGCCTGCTCTTCTGTTTGTACTCGCACTGAATTTCCGCTCCAATTCATTGACTCAGCCCGCGCCAAAAGTGTGGCCTATGCAAACGACTCGCTTGCAAGGATAGAGAGGTGTTCTCTGATGAGAGCGGTCTCAGTGACTTTTGAGTCCCGGCCAGAAACTTTGCCCTCACCCAGTGTTACAAAGCGTACCTGGTCACCAAGCAGAAGGCGCTCACTGCGATCAGCCATCCTGCTCTCAAACTCTGTGCCCTTTTCCATCGGCGGGAAGCGACATCCCGCCGTGTTAACCACAACGGCGTTCAGCTCGTTACCGACAAACTATGCCTGGATCAAGGAGCCCGGTGCTAGTAGGACAAGGGTGTCGCCGAGCCTTGTCCCAATCACGTCGTGATAACAGTTTCAGAACACCGGCAGTTGCTTGCTGCGCTGTTGTGAACTATACACAAATGTCTATACGTGTGACCCTTCTGCTCACACCCGGAGCAATACCAGCGCGAGAAACTTACTAAGGACGTACTTATTCAATTAACAGGTCATTACTCATAAGGAGTACCATCTGCGCCTGGAACAGCAGTGTTGTGGAAACCCTGACGCTAAATGACGGATGCACCCTGATACTAGTAGCTAGCAAATCTACTGCTGGCATTGGACAAGAAAACACGCCGTTTCGCCCGTCTTGAAGCTACATCTTCCGCGAAGCGGACGTTTATCTGGAGCGTTGCCTCTGCTTACTGTCACAAGATTTTATTGCACGATGCAAACGTCAAGGTGACAACTAATAACTTCAAGTGTCGGCAGTTAAAATCCTCGACCATCTTCATGAGACAGCCGTATCAACGACCGACAATAAGTCTTATACACTCCAATATATGTCACTTACGAGTGGAAAACGAATTGCGATGGGTAGCCCTGCCTGCTCCTGAAATGGGACAAGGACAAAAAATTGGGCCAGATAGTAAGCGGCCACGGCACCAGAGCAGTCTTGCCGAAATTGAACCTCGAACTTATTCGACCGATGAATATACTTCTGCAAGATACTGCTAACAGTCATAACGTACACACTGGTATACTAAATTTTCTGCATGAAAGCGGGATACCCCTTGATCGTCGAGCAAAACTGGCGAAGGTTGACCCTTTCGCGGATGAATCTCGTGAATTCTCATAAATGTGACGGTACGTCGGCTCTCTTAGGATTTCACGGCGCACACCTGAGGCTGAGATGATCCAGCTTTCTCTTTAAGAACCTAAAGCAATTAAAAAAACGCATCGTCACTTTGGTGCAAAAGTTAAATCCGCCAAAGGAAAAGGTAGATACACTGCTTCGTCTGCAACAGAGTGATTTACATCCGACTATCTTGTGAGAGCGTGATCGTGGTATTGCCTCAATTGGTATTGCTGCATTCACTTCAGGGTACCCAGAGTATTCCTCAATCAACGTTTCACTACGATCAGGGATGATCTGTCGTTTTGAATTTATAATCATCAAATGTTGCACGTAAAGGCAAATAAATTGCAGCTCTTACCTTTCCCCGCTCAAAATGTTTGTGTGTGTTTTGCCTGACTTTAAAAAGATGTGTTGCTTTTCTTAGCCTCGGCTCACAGTCATTGCGCCGCGCATCTTGCGTGACACTTAGTCGCCTCCAGATTAAATCACTGGTATTGCTACGGCGTATAGTCGGGATATTACCAGTGCCGTAGCTCTTTGCGCAGAGGAAGCTAATCTAAGGTCACCTACCATACGTTCTTTCCAAGAACCAGTACTAATGTAGCGGATCGCAATCCGCTACTTCTAAGTACTAAAGCCTTACCAAGGCAAACGAACACCTCTGTTTAAATACGAAACTGCATCTAATTGTTTTCGTTGCGGCAGAGCCACCAATATCTAAAACATTAGAATTAATATGGTACTACTTATTTAATGTAGCAAACCTAATTAAATACTACTATGCATTACAACTGGCAATCCTGCCAAACCACTCTGTGATTACGCTAACTGTGTAATAAACACCTATTACGATCGCACAATCTTGTGCGACCCGCCCCTTTCTTACAAAGGTACGTGTAAACCCGTTACATTCTTCACAATTAAAATTGTGGATTCACATTTCACGATCGCCTCATACGACGCTCGCGTGTTTGATACACGTTCACATTCACAAAAACTACTCAAACCTACTCCGCTTTATGAGCATTGTGTCTACGACATCGCAAAACACCTAGCCTAGCTGGTAGCGAGGGCGCCTGCGGGCAACCTTCTTCTTCTTCTGCACAGGGTGCATCTTCGGACAGTACGTCCGCGGCACATCCCATGCCCTCGGCAACTGGGCGCAACACACCGCGCCCACCCCGGGCGACGTATTTCCCCGTTGGGTAGTTGGAGGAAGTCAACTACGAGTCGGACAATCCTTTCCAGTATCGAGCTCACAGAGCTTTTCGCTGATCAAGCTCAGCTTCTGTAGTGGCCGGAGGCGCGACTACGTAGACGCCTAACGATCGAGTGATCGCGTCTTTCGTTTCAGTAGCGGGATCCGCCGAGCGAAAGCCGCATTCCACACGAGGGTCCAAGACCGAACGTGGATACGAGCACAAGAGAACCGCCCTGTGAGCAGCCTCCAATTGCAGCTCCTGTGTCTCGTCGAGGCGATTGGTAATAATACCACTTCCCCCGGAAGCCGAGACGTAGAGGAACGGACATGGTGTCCGCAGGGTTTGAGCTGGGCTCACGATGCGCCGTTGGCGCACTTCTTTTTTTCGCCATCCTTGTTGGTACCCCAAAAGATCCCAATGGATCGATACTGCGCTCCCTTTGAGCTCAAAAAGAAGGTGCTCCTGTTTCCGCAATGCGGACCATCCCTGTGGTGCTCACCCCCAGTGAATACACTGCAGATGACGATGAGCTCATTGAGCGATGGGTGCAGCGGTGCCAGAAAATTTCTTCGCTGTCTTCCTTACACCGAAGCCACAAGAAAGTTGACGTGCGTGTTGAGCGCCATCTTAGATTTGAGTTTGCCGAACTCAAGGCCCAAACGCCAACTTCCTGCGTATTGTTGCCATGCGACATATGGAACAATCCATCACGCTTTCGCGAACGCTGTGGTATCTCACAAGGATGAGTCTACGACCACAGCAGCTCAGGGTCATAGCTTGAGCTCATCTCATGACCCTCCGACTTTTCGGACTACAGCCGAGAACCGCGGGGCGCAAGACGACGCGAAGCGTCATGATCCCTCTGATCAGAAGCGTCTACGACGCCTGGGTAGTCTTGCCGAAGGGGCACCTCAGACTCCGACGATCATTCGGAGTTTGGGTATCCCCGCCACTTCACAACGTTGGGCTAAACTCCGTCGACAACGTCGACCCACAAGGCGTTCCACGTAGTAGTGGACGCCACCATTCTCATCGATAAGAATCGGCGGCGGACGATGACGATTTGGTCGATCGGCGTCCGGTGACTCGCAATGCTCTTCGAGCGTTGGAGGACAAGGTCCGTACTCTGCCGAGCATCTCTCCAAAGCCGACTACCGCTTTGCGGAAGACCTAGAGAGTCTGGAGCACTTTGTGCACCGACTGCCTCTGCGTTACGTTGAGTATAACTGCGCTCTGTCGGAGCGGCTCCTAGCCGCTGAGCAGACGAATACGTCACTTCGTGCGACGGCGGAGCGCTTTGAGCCGAAACGGAAATTGATGTACTTTGTGCTCAAAACCAGTTGCTGGTTCAACTTCTGCGTGGCTTAACATCTTTGGACGCCGCGCCGGCGCCAACACTTGCGCCGGATCCCGGTACGGTTTAAGCAAGCTCACATAAAACACCAAGTGGATGCGCATCGTTCTCGTGGACGGAGTTTCGTCTTAAAGACAGCGCAAGCTACATGTGTAGGAAGGCTCATATCATTCAATAAGACCAGGTCTCCGACTTCAATTTTTAACATTTCTTCTTCCTTTACCGTATGCATTTTCCTTGTGCATGTAGCCATCGCATCGCGAACGTGCCTTAAACTAAGTAGACAGGAAGTCTCTGACTTCCTTACGCACGGTGAGGGGACTGACATCAGCTTGCCGTTCGGCTATTCGTTCATCACCGAGCCCTGAGCCTTGGGATGACAGCGTTAGCGGGACGCGAGGATTAAGAAGTCCGTTCATATAGAACTGTGTTTAGCCGGTAGATGAATGCACTGTATTGTTCAGAGCAAACGCTACGAGTGGTAACATGGCGCTTCAGCGCTATGGCGTCTTAGCGCAGACGCTGCGAAGAGCGTCTTCAACAACGGGATTCACGCGCGTAGTCTGACCATCGGTCTGCGGTGGTTCGATGTTGACATAGTCAACTTGGTACTTAGCACCCTGAAGAGTGCAGACCAAAAGTTTGAACTGAAGCGTGGGTCTCCTTCAGAGATAATTGACTCCGGAAGCCCATATTGTCGAAAGATACGATCGACAAACAGCGTCGCTGTACCCACACCGTCGATGGTTTCCGGCACTGCCGCAAGATGAGCCATCTTGCTCAAACGGTCCACAAAGACCACTAGACCCGTGTTGCCTGCTAAGTCCTTCGGCAGGCCAACTGGCACGTCTCACACGTGCGCACATATGTGCTAGTCCACTTGTACAGCTTGGGCCACCAATAGTGGCTACACACAGAGCTAAAGGTCTTCTTAAACGCGCCGATAAATTATTGCCCGAGTTTCAAAACTCTTGCTACTGAGAGCCTGTAGCAGCGCTACACGCATACCCCCCCCCGGGTATTGGGCGCGGATCGTCATCGTCGTGACCTGAGCAAGCTCATGGTCCGGTCTGCGTGACAACGCATCAGCCAAAAATTTCTGCTTTTCTAGCTTATACGTCACCTCGAAGTTATACTCTGCGAAGAATGAAGGCCACCTGGCGATCCTCTGCGAGAGGTGAGGCGAATGAGTCGCTGTGCGTAAGGATGAAAAATCTGTGTATATCACGAACGGCTTTGAGCCAAGCAGGTCCATCCTGAATTTGACAAGTGCCTACTTCATTGCAAGTAATACCTTGTCGTGAAATGGGTTGCTCTTCTTCACAGCCTCAAACTGGCGAGATTCAAATGCGATCACCCGAATTCACCCCCGGCGTCTGCTTGCAGCAGTGCACAGCCGATAGCAAAGTCCGAAGCGTCACAGTCGACTCTAAAAGGACAATTGGGGTCTGGCAACTCCAATATCGGCTCATAAAGGAGGCTGTCTTTGATCCTTTCAAGAGCCTCCCGATGCTCGGTGTCCCAACACCATTCCGTATCCTTCTTTAGGAGGTCCGACAATGGCCGTGCCACTTCCTCATAATTTGCGCTATACTTGTGCAAGTATTTTGGGAGGCCAAACCACATGCGCAAGTCCCTTTCGTTCTTTAGAACCGGCCAGTTCACATTTGCCTTGGCCTTAGCGGGATTCGCTCGAAGGCCTAGCTTCCCACTGAAACACCTTAAAAAGGATATTTCTATCGCACCGAACTATACACTTATCGGCATCATAGTACAGCTTATTAGTGTGCATGCACTCACCGCTCTCAAATGGACAATGTTGTTTTGCCCATCTATCTCTCCGTGTCCCGCACGACTGTGAACGAAGGTGTCGTCAAAGTATGTCTGTGCATACGCCCGATGGAGCCTAAACAATTCCGACACAAGACGATTAAATGCTGCTGGTGCAATTGACAGCCCTTAGAGCATCAACAGCCACTCCCAGAGCATACTGCTCAGAATACTCACCGCTGTCAGCAAAATATTACTCGCTCTCATGAGTAATTAGTAAAAACCATCGACCAAGTCGAGTGCGCTGTACATTGTACAACCAACCATATTGTTCTTAGAAATCACTCTCTCTAGAAATCACCGTTTGTGCCACAATGGTGGTAGCGGGTAGCTTATTGTAAGCGTGAGCGATACGCCACTTGCTGTTCGGCTTCCGGACACAAACCGTGGATGTCGAATGGGGAGACTTGCTCTCACGCACCATTCTCGCCTCGTGCTTCACACGGAAAAGGCGTCAATGACGTCACACTGCTCTTTGAGCAGGGGTTATTGGCGTGTTACGCTGTATTTGTTTTCCGGAACCAAGTCAATCTCATGACGCACACCTCGGCCCGGTGGTTGGACCGACGGGTCTTTAAAGACGACGTCTTGAAATTCCTCACCGAAGGATAAAATGGATCCTTCTGGATCGACAATCCACTTCGTGCGTTTAGCACCTTCATAGTGTCCTCCAGGACAGCTTCATTTAGAAGCGACGACGAGTTAATCTCCTCATTTCGTCTTATAATGACCACCTCGGCTAAATTGCCTGCCTTCAAGGCACCGCTAAACCTTCGAAAGACATCTCGTCTAGCTCAAGAAGAACTTGAATTTGGCTTCGGCATTCAATACCGCGCTCACCGCTTCTTCAAATAAGACGGATGTACACGAAAAATTTCCATTCTAGCCACGCCAGTGCGGAGGCCCTCCATAAAGACGGTCACTGCGACCGCCTCGGGAGAGGGTCTGCTGCCATCCCGTCAATGAGGGTTCTTAACTCTTGGACAAAGTCCGCCAACTCCTTCTTACCCTGTCGGGTAGCAAGGAAGCGCGATCTCAGACAATATGCCTGATTAGGCGGCAAGAACATTCGCAGCAGCTGACGCTACTGCTCCATCCAGGAGAAGAACGCAACTTCTACCGAAGCACCGCACGTTAGTGCCATTCTCGCGCTCGGACCCCGACCTTGGAGATAGCTAGCACCACGTGTTGTTGCTCGTTCTGGAGCATGGCGGATGCCATAGCCATCTCGACCTCTTTTGTCCAGAGCAGGAAGTTCTCTCCATCCTTACCGTCGAAGGTCTTAACGCTCACCATGAGCGACCTGGATCCGAAGGAATCATCCGTCTTCGACGGTGGTGTCATAGACGCAGTCGGCGCTGACATCTTCTGCTGTAAGTGCTCTAGCAGAGCAGTTTCATATCTAAAAACGCCTCTAGGTGCGCGCTCATGACCTCGATCCCTTGCGCATCGAGGTGCTCCACCTCCTCAGGGCCCGGCAAGGACATCAACTTATTAAGCCCGTCCTGTATACCCTGGGGCAAATAGGAGTATTCATCCACCCTCACAGAGGGTCAGTCTTAACGACTCAGGCGTAGATTGAATACGAGTGCTACCGATTGCAGCGGAGCTGCCGTATCTACTTGCATAAAGGAAGCTAAGCTAAGGTCACTAATCTTACGTTCTTTCCAAGAACCAGTACTAGTGTAGCGAATCGCAATCCGCTATTTCCAGGTACTTAATTCTTACCAAGGCAAACAAACACTTCTGTTTCAAAACGAAACTGCATTTAATTGTTCTAGCCGCCAATATCTATAAGCTTAGGTTTTCCCAATTAATATAATAATACTGAATTAGTATAGCAAAACCTAATTATATAGTACTACGCATTACTACTGGACGTGGCGGCTTCTTGTTACGGTGTAGCCACACCACTGTGCTATTACATTAAATGTGGAATACTCACCAATATACGGCCGCACAAGATTGTGCGACCCACCCTTTCTTACAAGGGCACGTGATACCCCGTTTCACACTGTACTTGTGCAAGTAGTTGGCTAGGTCAAGCCACTTCCTTAAGGCATTGTGGGACAGATACACTGGCTAATTTTGCCTTAGCAGAATCTGCCTGTAGTACCTGCTTTGATTAAGCAACTGGGAAATAGGTTCCGTCGGCAGTAAAGGCACACTTGTCTCTTCAGGCGAATTATTTTCTTAAGTTCGTCCACTAGAGTACCCCTCAAAATTTTTAATGTGGCTCACCACATCCGAAATTCCGTGCTCTGCACAATTATTAGCGTATATACGTAATAAAAGTTGAGTTCAATTTCTTATTTAAAATTTTATTTATCAAAGTTTGTATACCAGCAAAAGATGTGACATATACAACTATGTAAGTGGACGACTAACGTCGCAGGTGCATGGGACGAATCTGTGGCAAAACCATCCACTCTCAAAGCATCCTGCCTGGAGTACTCATTGTAGTTTGAGGTAAATTGCTGTCTCGCATCAGCCATCGATAATTATCATCACAAAAGGAGAAAGCACTAAACAAAGTGTATCTAAACATGTTGTTCTTTGTTTTGCAGCCATCTCATTAGAAACTACAGTTTGCACTAGATCGTGGCTACAATTAACTTATATATGCATACCAAATTAACCACTTGCCGTTAGCCTACCCAACACCGAAAGTCGGGCACGAGTGTGAAAATTTACTTACTCTGATCAAGCCCACTTCATGCTTTGCGGGAACGAATGCGTCAATGATCTCACACTTTTTCCATCTTATGGGTCGTTGCTGCGTTATGCAATGTTTGTTCCCAGAAACCAAGTCGGGTATACATAAGCATAAAATATCAATTGTATTAAAAAGTTATAATATAACATTATTGACCATAACATCCATCAGAAATACACAACAAAGTTAATTATTATCTAACTCGGGAAGTGGTTGGGTGATTGAAGATCAATTAATATGAGATTTTCTAATAATTGAAATACAGAAGTGTTCCAGGGACATGCAATTCAGATTGTAACTCGCAGTCGCAACCATTTTTCTAACTTATTAGTGCCGTTAAAATGGCGTTTTAAGGTCACTATAAAAATTTGGACCGTGGTGGTGAACGGGCTAGTCTTCTGTAGTTATCGTCAAGGCAATTGATCTCTAAAACACGTCAAACATTACAATTATGAGCTCCAGCAAGTTCGTCTCGTTTACCGATGTTTGGTCAAAAACATGAACTTTCTTGCAGCGCCAAATGTCCCAGACGTGTTTTTTTGTGTCTTTTACGCGGTAGAAAATTGTGCACATTAAAGTCACTTGGCTGTAGAGTGGCTAGCAGTTTTCAATACATTCTATTGAATTTGCGTTTTAAGGCGCCAAATAGTAACTTTTCGGTCTGTGAGCAAATTCCAGCCGACAGACTGTTTGAGATCGTTCAGAGCTTGTTACGATACGACACCCAAACGTTGCATAAATCACAATAGCTGTTGAATTAAGAGTTCGTAGTGCTGCTAAAAAAGGCATTAGCGTCCAAATATGGTAGAAAAGGTACTTTTTTCAGTTTTATCACACTTTTTAGCCAACATGTAGATTATTGTCGACTACCATCTATAGAGCTTTAACCATAGTTTCTCAAACTCTTTTTCGTCATAAATCTTTTTATAATTCAGCGTCAGATGTACCTTTTATGTGTCGAGAAGTCGCCTATTTTTTTTAGAAAAATGATCACCGCTGCATGTCGTGGTATCTATGGCGGGACGGTAGTAACAATGCTGCGCTGTTGTCGCTTGTGCCAGGGCTGACGAATAGTGAAAACGACTGGGTGACACAATCTTCCGTGTCAGAGCGGTCGAGTTGTCAAGCGTCTGTACGTCGCGTTTAGAAGAGCAAGGCCCCGAAGATAGATGGGAAGGTTCATTGTGGTTACGCTGTGACGATAGCACTGAGTTAGAGCCACCGTGCGACGGACTCACCGTGTGGCTCAGCATATATGAAATTTCTAACTCGTGTATGGAGTGGCCGGAGTAGTCACAGGGTTTGAAGACCCTCCCCTCACTACCCCTGGCAGCTCCTCTGGAGCTGGAAGAAATATATCTCGGATATATTAGCGACATTTTCGCAAGACGTTGGACTCACTAAAGGGGTACGGTTCGTACCACAGGAGAAGCTGATCTCGTTATCCGTAATGAATGGATCTGTCCTTGAGAATAGTCGCAGGGAGCTGAGTACGTGGAGTGAAACATCAAATACCACAATACCTACCTTCATTTTACTCTATGTTGAAGGAATATAAAGCGTACTGTACCCGCATCCATGATAGCAGTCTTGTTTCCGTTGGATACTGAAAGCTCACCGCGGTCCTGCTCATCCAGGAAGGCACACTTCGACTTATCGTAATAAATGTGGTGAGTAGCACCACTATCAATGGCCCACATACCCGGCATTCCTTTACCAGACGATAAATCACATCCAGGGATACAATGTCATCACACGTGTTAACCCCGGACGGCGATTTAACTTCATCGCTTGCCTCTTGCATCTAAATTAAAAAAAAATACAATTCAAGCAAGCATCGTACACAGTACATGAGAAACCTGCTGATTTGGCAATCTGAGAATCGCCTGTGATCATATCCTCTGTGCATCATTATACGCTAACTCCGAAAGTCAACGCTTCTCCTGTGTACGGCAAATTCGTTGAGCTTGACAGCAATTGTCGTCAATTGAGCGACTGATTCGCTGTAATTATGTATCCTGTGTGAATTATACACTAGATAATCACATATCCCACCTCGAGTAAATAGCCCACGTTTCGAAAAAGTCTGTCTTTGAATGGCTTTGAGGTGATAGCGCACTTGGCGACCAAAGAGCCGAAGCGGTTTCTGCTCGCCCGGAGCTGTTCACTGCTTATAAAAATGCGCTGAAGAGATAGTCTAAGAACGTCTTTATCTGGCGCTGAGAAAGCACTAGCGGTTCAAAGCAAATATTTCGACAATGTGAGATACGCTTGATGCGGGTCACTTTCAAAATTAAATGAGAGCAGATTTGTAAGTGTTATGCTTCTGGGGGAAGCGTACGAACTCATCGTGTGTGTATTTGCTAATGCGATTTATTTAACGAAAGCACCTTCGTGCGAGGTGCACGGCAATCCGCAGCTCAATATCACTTGTCGTCAATTCGACAATCCTGTCATAATATGACTGTAAATCATTGCAAAAATGGAAAAGGACATGTCTAATTACCTGTCCGCTGGACAATACTTAAAATTTCGCTGGTTTTATTCTGTACTTAGAAAAGGTGTGATTGGCAAATCATGAGCTGGATGCCGTTATCGCGCGCCTGAAGGCGTTCGCCAGGTATGAAAACACGCTGTTGAGACACCTCCAGGATACTCTCAACAATGCGTCATTGACTCCATCGGGGAGACCACTTATGCTAAGCATTCAGTACATGGATAGTAGAGTCTGTCCATAAAAATTTGGCTTTAATAGCATATGGTGTTCTCAAGCAACAATTGTCGCGAGCCTTCGTATCGGCTGATCAGGCTTGACGCATGCGGTGATACTTTTGTTAGTCGTACGAAGTGTTTTTCTCAGGGCTATGTCCACGAGTTGACACGCCTTATACTTGGGCGTTGTGCAATCTGAACGTGACGCACTTTCGTTGGAAACAGTGAAAAAAACGCAAAGCAATGGTAGGAAAAGTATGGGGACTGTGTCAGTGCGTTTTGAGCCGATGATGTTTTCACACCTTAAAACAATATTTCAAACCCAAATATCGTGGCACTTTTTGATATTGCGACTGGAGCTTAGGTGATCGTTAAATCCCTGCAGAAAAAGAAGCTTCTTTGGCTTGGACACGTAGCTTCGACAGACTTACTTCGAGAATTGAGAAGGTCAGATATAGATAGGATCGAGCCTAACGGGAATTTTTAGTAAAGCTCGGTAGTCAATGGCGGTATGAGCCGCAAGCTCCAGAAATTCTCTGTTGAGACAAAAATTGGTTACTCTTTATCGCGGAGTGTTAAGCTAGATGAATTTTTTTTCAAGTATGCTGCAAGGAATCCCAAGACAGCATGTTCACCGAGTTTGGTACCGATCGTCCAGAGGAAAAGTTGCGCTCCTGAACCCTTATGGATGATTTGTCATTAAAAATACTCGAAGAGCCTTGATTGCTGTCACAAAATGAATGTAAATCTTTTTTATCATTTTTGAAGAGGTATTACGTTGAGTGCGTCGTGAAATTGACTTTGTTCCAAAAGATCTAACACGCCAAGGACCTTTACCAAGAAAGCAGTACAATGTTATAGGCCTTTTTGTGCAGCGCACGCAGCAGGGTCAAAAGACAGTAATGAGATCAAGTATCGACGATCTACATAGGGATGCTGAATAGAGGAAGCTACGATCGAAATTACGATCTAAACAAGTGCACCGAGGATGCACACATAGGCTATTCATAGGGCGTGAGGCCCATACCCTCCAAAACACCTTGTTTATTTGCACCCTTCAAGCGAAGTGTTGAATTCGTCTAGCTAGCTAAAAATGAAAGCCATCCCTCTTTTTACGTTCTTCGCACTAAACAGGCACTTCATCATTGTGTTACAGCATTTTTCTTGTTTTAAAGTGAATAAATTGGAATAGTCCCCTAGTGTATTAATTTTGGTACAATAAATTGTTTTATTGCAATGTGTAGTTGCATACTATGTGAATATGTTGGAATTGTTTTCAATCGTTTGAACTTTGAAGTAATGAAGCCTTACCGTACGACAATATAGTGTGACAAAGTGATACAACCGCGGTAGATCCTCGAGCCATGTTCTTTTTAAGCTCTGAAGGCTAATAAGCAAATGTGTACTTAGAGCATAACGGGGCATGCAACGGATTTGCGATGCATTTGGCACTGAGAATCATTGACTCTAACTAAGAGCCCGCGTAAAACCACGAGCAGATTGAAGGTCTAGTTTGCTCTGCTGAAAAACCACATATTAATCAATTCTACTGACATTGAACATATGCGAGAGGCTGTCCTTCTTACAAGCTGCAGATATTTTTGAAAAAATCAAAAATGATTATTTTCCTGAATTCTTCCTTTCATACCATTTTGTATTGAAAACAACTGTACCAAAAATGCAGGAGTAAAAGTGTGTAGGATTTGCAGTTTGATTTTTCGATACCGCTAACAGGTTTTTGGTATTCTTCCTGAAATGTTGGTTTGAAGTCCTCATGTTTTCGACTTTTTATTTCATCCTGTCCTTACTTGACTGAAGTCGTTTGAGTAAATATGTCATGGTGCGTCGATAAAAAGTGAAACGACTGCCTATTAAGAACTATTTCATTCTTGTTCGCAGCGAACTACTCTAAAGTATTTATGGCGCTGACTATAGATGAGCTGGCGCGAGCAGCACAACTAGGTTTCAAGTATATTGTGGAAGAGGTAAGCTCTGCCGCTCAAATACGTGCTCAATTTCAAGACTTTAAACATTTGCCTGGGCCATCGCGCAGGTATCGTGGAGAGATGTCTTAAAGATGTCAAGTGAAGCAGGTACTGTGCATCCAACTTTAGTTGGCTATGCACTCGGTGCTATCGCTACAATTTTCTACGCACGTTGCTCGCTGTGGGTTTTGCGCTTTATTTTCGCCGCATTTTGTCTCATGTTGCTTTTACATACTCTTCACACTCTGGAGCGACAATCACAGGAGTGGCTGCTTTTGTTAGCTGCTGGCACAGGGATTTGCTGCACCTACATGCAGCTAGCTTCATTGGATCTGGTTAAGGTGTGTACAGACAAACTGATCAGTTCTAACAGACACAAGAAAAATATATAATTTGCGAATTTGACGAACAAGTTGTCAGACTAAGCTTCTTTTTTCTGCATGTCAAGGTCTTTTGAACCACAACAACAGAAGGCAAGGCACGCTAACGCTCACTATAAAAGCGATTTCATGCCTTTATCGCCAAAGTAAAGCTTGACGTTTTATGCTCACGCTTAAAGTTCGGCAGTTGCTCATACTTAAGTAACATTTTTCGCTAGTGTTTTTTAAATGAGGCTGACCTAGAGTTTGCAACAATGTATTACTAATCGATACTAGAGATAACGAGTGCGGTGCTGTGATACCGTACACATATTGCTCACCAGAGATTTTCCTCATTGTTTGTGTCACGCTATTATTTTGTCCTCTACGAGATGAGCTATAAAAATACGCAAATCGAGAAAAGAATATATCTCAACCAATCAAAAAATTCCGGTAAATTATGATTGCAGGATGCTCGCCATTGACATCTCAGGTTTGGTAACAATGACGTTGCCTTTTGGCCTTAGACCAGAGACACTAGTGATGACGTTGCAAACTGCAGTACTGCTGTGGTTATGGCGCAGGCATTTGCATTTACGATCTGACCAAACTCAGACCATTATGGTACAAGTGTTGCAGATACGATAATCTAGCATTTGATCTTCATCTAATCAACACTATAGAAGCTGCAGGACGATGTGGTAAAAAAGGAAAAAAAGCGCATTGACGAAAGACAAGGTCGCGTAGCTGCAGAGAGGGTAAGCAGTCATTCAACAGCTTCATTTGTATTCGCAAGAATACCTCAACTGTTTTTTGCCTATTTACCAGGAGTTGCGACGTGTGATGGAAGAGAAATTAGATACCAGCAAAGGCTGTTACGTGCAGCCTATAGGAATTATCCATTCGTGCTTCAAGACATGCTTAGGCCAGTTAATAGATTCAGGTCGCTTCGATGGATTTCTTTGTAAATTGATGGGATGTACGTAGGCACGCCTCGGCAAGGCTCTCTTGCGCCGTCAACGCGAGCAAAAATAGTCTTTCAGCGAAGTATCTCCCCGGATTCTCTGGTGGGACTAGAGCACTTCAGCCATATCTGGATCATTTTTGTCTTCCACTTGAATACAAACGGCAAATACACTCGAGCGCATGACGGTCTCCGATCCGATAGCCATCGCCACACATTTCGTGTGCGTAATGTTAGTCTGATCGTCCGTTGTATGACAAGCAAGTTTGACCTTCTGTTTCAGGCCAAAGTTTCACCTCCAGTGCTAAAAGCACGAGTGGGCATCTTTTGCACTCGATCACCCCACAGGCCCAACCCCATCGGCATCACGCTGACAAGAGTTGAGCGCGTCGATATGTGCAAACGCACAGTGTATCTCACAGGAGTTGATTTACTTGATGGAACTCCCGTTCTTGACATTAAACCGTACATTGCAGGTGAGATAAATAGAGAATTGAGAGGTCTCAACTTTGCAGACTAAGTTATCTTGTTGACTCTATTTTGTAGCATATGATAGTCTTCCGGATGCCCTGACAGCAGACTGGGTCTCCACACCGCAACCATCTATAGAGTATGTCATATCGTCATAAATGTTTACGTTCTGCCCAACTAACGGCAACACCCGTAGAATTGAGTGGAAATCAAGCGATTTGGCGTCAACAGTTCGCAAGTTGGCGACAAAGTCTGAACACTACCGCGATGCTCCCGATGCGTTAGTTGCTGCTATTGAAGAAATCTTACTTGTTGATGTGCGCAGTAAGTACCAGACCCGTCGGTGGACAACACCAGACCATGTCAGCTATCAGATTGTCGATACCGTTCGCGTGAAGTACTGCTTTGCATTGTCACCACAGCCGAAACTTCACACGGATGGTAAACCAGACACTTCTTTTATTCAGATTTTAGCAGTTGACGAATGTAGCGAGCTGTAGTACATTTTTAGCGATTAACGTGCTATTTCACTACAAAACATTTAGTAAGAAATGTGTTCGTTGAAAATGGTCATATTTATTTCGAACGAATTAGGTCTAGAGTGTTCATGGCCGCAAGCGCAGCTTCCTCGAGACTTCAATCCCACCGGTATTCGCTGCCTTATTCCTACAATCTTCCTAGTCAATCTCGATTACTTATAATTTGTATGCTGACTGCTGCGAAGTAACATTGACATAAAGCTGGGCATGGCGCCGTCCTCTGGAGCCTCTACAACTGTTTCATCTGTCAAATGTGGCTCTCTCAATATGCCAGGAAGCAAAATGGTGGCAGCAATAGTTGAGCGCACACCTGAGAAACCTGAATCAAGTGAGAGGATCAGGCGTCGCGACAGACACAAACCTACACCTGTGCTTAAAAAAAAGCAGATAGCGAAATGTGTGGGCTACTACGTCGACGCTTTGGATAAGAAAATGCTTTGGGGTGAAGCTCGGATTATAAAGTGTAATCCTGTAACTAGAAAAATTTTGGTGCACTTCGTGGGCTGGAGCAAGAACTACGACCTTTGGACAGATCCCATGTCAATTACGGAGCACGGCCGCTACGCTCGTACGTATAGTATTACGGGGTACATATTTTAGGTCATATTTAATGGAACTTTCTTTATCTTTGAAGCTCGGTCAAAGGACAAGACCGTCAGAAGCTGGGATGGCAACATGCATCTTTTTGAAGACATATTGGGCTCATTTGAAGAAAATGTGTCCTTGTCTGTATCAGGGCTTGTAAGAAATAAGCCACAAGGCGCTTTAAAGCTTAACAGTGACAAACTCAGCGGTGCATTAAGTGTTAGACCCAATTTCCAGCGAGAGACATTGCCCATCAATCAGAAGATAGATTCTGCGAGTCAAGCGAATGCTTATAAGAAGGATGATCTTTCCACAGTAAAAGTGACAGAAAGGAAAAAGTCTCAGCCAAACAGTAAGCAAGGCTCGAATCGAATGGTGGCCAAAGCGAATGTAAAAAAAAGGGATCAAGCGAATGTAGGTCAATTGCGAAGCATTAAAAAAAAGAAAAGTAAAATCCAGCTTCCCACTGCCCAGATATCAGGAAAGTCTCGACTATCAACAAATATAACGGTTCATTCTCCTAATCAGCTCCCATTGAATCGCGACTTGGAGCTGGACGATGGTACCGTGTTGGAATTCTCATCGCAGCGCGAACAAGCGCGTGTGGAACACGAATCCATGCAAAAATTTCTAGGTAAATGTGCTGTAATCTGGAAAAAGCAGCTAGCTTTATCTAAGATGGGACAGTGGAAATGAGGAAGCAATCCTACAAACTATAACAAGCAAGTGGATAAAGTATGTTAAGGGAACGAAGGATGCGGGTGGAGACATAGCGACATTGCACAATCGCAAATCTAAATAGGGTTGCTCAACTTGTCGATCGTTTCGATGCTATTTTTCACACCTATTATAGGGCACAGCCATTTGCCTTCACTTGATAGCTCAATTTAGACAGGGACAAATCAGTGAAGGCAACATTGCTACCCTACATGACCCATGCAGCGACGCTTTTCATTTACCTGTCAAGCAACCAACGCAATCGACGAGGTACGAAATTTTTACACCCGAAAGCAACTTTTTTTTGACGATACCTATTGCAGGGAACGCATGATATAATTAAACATGACAACTGTGAGAATGTAATAAGAAAAGCGTCCTCCTTTCCATCGCTTATTGCTGTCGACAGCATTTTGGGTATTAGAGGCAGTAGCGGAGAAGATTTTCGAAAGAATAAACAAGTAGCACATACATCTGAAACGATATCAGTTCAAAGCGACGCGGCACTGTTTGTGTTGGGTAGTAAAAAAAGGGAAAACCATGATGGCGCACATTTTTTGTTCGACTGTCTGAACAATCGATTTTCTGCGCATTTGTCGGCTCGATTGCCTTCGAACTCACTGATGCTGCGTCAAGAGTCACCGTTAGCAGAGTCAAACACGGTACAAAGTCCACCCAGTTTCGATGATCAATCTGAAATTTCGAAGATTGGTCGAGAGTTAAAGCAAATTTCGCCTTTTTTAAGCCAGTTCTCGTTTAAATCAAGCCCCAGTAAGGTACAAAACGCAAAAGATATTGTCGATGACGGGGAAAATGATTTTCCGGATTGGCTGCTTGATAAAGGTAGTCTGTCACCTGATTTTTCAGCTATCAAATCTCCAAAACAATCACCTCGACATATCGATGACGAAATACGCTTTGCTGTCGACTCTGCAGCAGCTCGAGTGAACGAAGAGCTTGGCCGTCATGAGCAGTTTAAATGTGACCTGCTATCTGCAGCAACGACTTCAGCCCTTCCAGCATCTACAGACATACGGTCGGCAATCTCGAAACTCTTTTTAAAAGGTGGTAGCGACTTTGAAAAAAACTCTCTTTCAGATACTGAACTAAGTCGTACAAAAGATCAATTAGAGGTGAAAACTCGAGCTGATCATGGTGTTACAGACGAAACAGAACACGGTAATCTACTGTTATTGATGGAGGTAATTATCGGCGACGGCCGAACTGAGACCATCGAGATTCATGAAGGGGACGATCCCGATACGCTAGCTTTCGCATTTGCCACGATGCATGCGTTGCAACCTGATGCACTATCAAAGTTACGAGCTTTGATCCAAGACCAATTAAATGCTCTTGCTGAGAAGGAGCCTGAAAATGTCGTTTCGCCTGGGCAACCTGTTCAGGACGATTGGGCTATCGATTTAGAGTTCGACGAGTTTGTGGCCGAGGCTACTCCAGTAGATACACGGGTGAGCGATGTTAATGTTAGTATGAATAATACGCCATCGTTCCAGCCAGAGCATCAAAAGCGCGAGCGTGAAACCCAGCGCGAGGTCAACTATAACAGTCTGAAAGCTAGATATGGCCACTGCTCGCAGGTCAACGACAAAAGTGATTTTGAGCGTCAAAATCTTGTGGATGATATACTCGAATCGCATGCAGAGTATGTACCAAATATTAATAACTTATCGATGCCGATGCCATCTACTGTCCCACGTTTTACGACAACGATTTGTTACAGTCGTAATAGTAGCACGAAAAAGAGGTCAAATCTAGGAGTAATACCAGCCTATGAGCGCTTGCACGCACTGGCAGAGTCAAAAAATAAGTGGATCCAGCGCGCTAAAAACGCCAAGGAACTTGAACAGGCTCGAGAAGAGCAGCAGTCGCATCGTTTCGAGTTAATGGCAGCCAAGTCGCGTGATCTCGTTGCCAATCGCACGAATGGAGGTTATGCAAATATCGGCGAGAGACTTCACGAAGAGGCCCTGTCAGATATTGCGAAAAAAATGCAGCGCCACGAGCGCCGAATTTTGGAGCGCGATGGTCAGCACGATTGGATGTGCCCTAAATGTGCGTTTGTGAACCGATTTGTTGATTCGTTCTGCCAAAATATGATTGCATCAGCTCGACAACAGTTGGAGAATCGTCGCAATAAATCCGTAGGCTGCGATCAAACTGCAAATAATGTCAATCGCTCGTTCCATCGCTTAAATTCCCATCCTGGTAACTTGTGTGGGCAGCCTAAACCTGAAAAACTTTTTCAGCCAACGCTGCTTACATCTGCATCCGGTGCCACGAAAAGTCACACGACAAACAAAGAAAACTCATCTCAAATGGTAGTCTTACGACGACAGCGTTTTGAAAAAGTGATTGCAGAAGAGTTCCAGCAGTCATGTCCATTCAAACCAAAAATTAACAAGGTATCGGAGGAGATTATGCGCGAAAAGCTAGAAAGTGTGGCAGAAATATCTAAGGTTTGCGGAAAGACAAAACGATCACGAAATCCTCATCTCGACTTGTACGAAAATTCATTTCAGGCTCGAGCCTTGCGAAATGAACGAGAAAAAGAATATTTGAAGCAGTTTTCATTCAAGCCCAACATTGGCGTAAATGCTTTATGGGTTGCACCTGATAAGTCTCAGAGCGATTTTGTCGAGCGCCTCGCTGTTGGTAAGTTCCAAGAGCTGGAACGTAAACGCGTTGCTCTGCACGAAAAATATGCACAAGATCGTGATCCGCTAACAGGCAAAGAATTCTTTAAGCCTGAAATTGGTCGAGCGCCTGCTTTCGCACGGAATAAACAAGGTTTGCCTATTGGAGAATTTCTGTATGGCGCTCATCTTGAGCAACAGGAGTACCACCGCGAATTACGCAAGAAAAAGCAACGTGATATTGATATTAAGTCTCAGCAGACGTTCGTGTCTGAAGTCTCACGCCAAGCGCTTGAGCGCCGAAAATCAGAAACTTGCTCACGAATTTTTAACGCTCTCCTAGCTTTGACGCATCAAGCAGCACCAACATCTTTATCTACAGATGTTTTGAGTATTGATAACACAGAAGAGGAAGTCAATGATATGGTAATACCAGCCAAAGTAAACCTTTCGGCGTTACCACCTGAAATAGCGCGAGTAGTCGCGATTGTGTTTGAGTACGCCAACCACGGCCCAATTTCGCGCGATGCTTTTTCAGGTTACATGGACCGCCTGGTGTGCAAGGTACCAGGAATATCTTATTCGCAAATTATTTTTCTAGCGAATCAATTTGACACGGAAAAAGATGATCGGCATCTTCAACGGTTGGATTCTGATCGTGAAGCAGCAGAACGAAAGGAATTAACTTTCCACCCGGTTATTAACAAAAATTCGCGAGAAATTGCCACAAAGCATGGTCGTGTACCTAGCTCTAAGGTATTTCAGGCGCTCAACCAATACTTCGATCACTATCTTGAGCGTAAAGAGCAGCGTCTTAAGCAGCAGCAGCACGAATTCAAAAAGTCACATCCGTTTCACCCCACGCTGGTCACAAAATTACAATCGCGGGACCCTGCGGCTGCTGCATTTTATGATAAGATTTGCTCTGGATGCAAGGAAAATGGAAATAAAGAATTAGTCGAGGTTCCGGGCTCTCAATTTTTGACTTCAACATCATACTTAATTCAGAACGCGGTGAAATCTCCCATCGCACAGCTACGAACTGCTTGTGTTAGCGCCAGACCTTATGTTCGTCCGATCACCAGCGAGCGTAGTAGACCCAACACTTCAGAGTCTGTTGTTGATGACCATATTCACGAGTTATTAAAGTAAGTTTAAGAAACTCGTCACGCTTTCCTGGAAGATGTCGAATATGTGATACAAAAAGATATCGCTGTAAACGGAAAGCTTTACTCTCCCCTTCTGCTGTCGTACATCTTGACCACACTGTCACAGTCGACTTGAGTTCCATAGAACAATTCTTAACGAAATAAAATTCTCGAAATAGTATACATTATTATTTGAGGATATATTTATCAGGTTCAACGAGTTATCAATGCGCTCAATCGAAATGGTACATCCTGTAAGCGGGACAACAATGGCGACGCTGCCTCATAACACCATGCTGGTACTATACTCCCTTGTTGGTGAAGAATTCGAGCAGGTACAGGATAGTAAGCCCCACCACGGACCTGATACCAATTGGAATGCCTTTGTGCTGCCACTCCCACCCGCAGGAGGTCGCGTCCGTTTGGCGGACGTACAAACAGCATTTCCTCTTGGAAGCAACTTTCACTTTGCCTTTCGCTGCAAAGATGGTGCTTATTTGGATCTGACGAATCCAGAATCTGCTATTCCATTTTGCGGGCGCAAAATTTTAGCGCGTGTTACGCCTCTTGATGATGATCCCCGTGTCGAGTATTTGCATTATGAAGAGCCCCGTGAAGCTTTGCCAACTATAGAAACGATTCAAATTTCAAAAATAACGAAATCTCGCGCTGAGAGCTATGGAAGTAGTACAACGGAGTGTCGTCACCGCGATGAGTATGAGGAGCTTGAGTCCACTACGTATGAGTCCCAAGGTGAGGACGGTTTGCGCATGTAAGAAATTTAGCTGTTGTGGCTTTCGTTGTTAATGATTAATTTAGATGAAGAACTTCCGATCTCTGGAGTGCGGTCACCTTCGCGTGGTAAAATGCGTGAAAAGGAGGCAGAAAATGGTTGGAAAAACAGCAGCTATCAAAGTGGTGACGATGGTTACAATAATGTTGCTAATGACAATCGAAGATCGCACTTCAGTCGCGATGGTGTATACGACTCTAGCGGTAGTTTAGGACTTCGACAATCTTCTGAATGGGCTGAGGCAGGCAAAGATGCTCAAAATTATCTGCGAAAACAAACGGAACAAGCTTACGATTTTGCCAAAAAAATTTCCATCGAGGATGCCAAAAAAGGAGCGACAGAGACAGCTAAGAAGGCCAAAAAGTGGGGCGGCTCCTTGCTTACTTCTATCAGTGCATCTATATCGAATGCCAGTGCCAATGTGTCGAAGGTAAGCTGTCCTAAATGACCAGAGTGTGCAATACTATGAATTAATATTTATTGCAGAGTGAAACGATCCAAGTCGGCGGTGTTACGGTGCAAGTCGCACGGCTCCTTGCTGAGGGGGCTTATGCTCAAGTGCTGCTGGTTCGGTCGTCAGCCACAAACGAAACATTTGCCCTCAAACGAATTATCTGCCAATCGCAGGATGTTGAAAATGACGTGCAGATGGAGCTTCAAGTCTTTCACGTACGCTATTATGGCTTTGGTATTTTTTGTCGCTACTAGTGGTGACCAATAATTTGTATGCTTCGATTAGTCCGTTAAGCACTTAAACATTATGCCGCTGGTGGAGTTTTCTGAAGCGCGAGTGCAACAAGGAATGGAGGTATGAATGGCTGCAATCTTAGTCTTGCAATCTTTTAAAATGAAATACTCACTTTTGTGATCTCTTTCTGCATAAGTTTTACTTTTTGGTCCCGTATTTCGAACGTGGGAGCTTGTGGGATGCGATCGATGCTGCGCGTCAGTCGTCATCGCCTTTGTGGCCATTTACACAGCGTACAGCATTGCATCTCTTCCATGGCATTTGTTCGGGTGTGCTTTCCTTGCATCGTGCAGGCTTCTGCCATAGAGACCTCAAACCACACAATATTCTGCTGTCCTCGTCGTCTGATGGAGAGAATTTTCTCGCGTACATTCCAGTGGTGACAGACTTTGGTAGCTGCGCGCCAATCCATGTTGAAGTGACCTCACGTCGGAATTCTCTTGAACTTCATGACGAGGCAAACCGCAAGAGCTCAGCTCCGTACCGTGCGCCCGAACTCTTCGAGCCAACTGTTGACGTTGCACTGGATGGTCAGTCCGACGTGTGGTCCCTAGGCTGCGTACTGTAAGTCCCACAGATGTTTTAGTGTTCAACTTAGCGTAATTGTGGTGCTCAATTTGTTCATTGCAAATTGTTGTTTGATACACACCCAGGTATGCAATGGCATTTGGAACAAGTCCATTCGAGCATCCGCGAGAGGTACGATGTTTGTATATAATCGCCCTGTAAATTTGCTGGGGACACTACTTGAAATTTTTAGGGCTTTATGAAGCTGGCGTGCTTAAATGGCCGGGTTTCATTTCCACCAGAGCAAGGTGGTGTGGTTCTTCACAGAGGTACTCAGTTCTCAGTGGAATTCTGCGACTTCATTCGTGACATGCTGCAAGTTAATCCTGAAGAGCGACCGTCTGTCTTAGACGCGCTCGAATTTACAGAAGAACTCCTTAACGACGAAGTGCAGCGGTGATGTACAACACTTTCTTCTTACATCATAGGTCGGATTTGTTTAATGAGTAATGTTTAAGCAAGAAAATTTAAAAATGGAGAAACCTATCATCTTTGAATAATGATGAATTGTGGCAGTGTCCTACTAGCATGCAAGCTAAAGAAAGTCGGTAGTGAAAATGCGCTAGGTCCTCCGCGACAAAATTTATGTTTAGGCCATGCATGCGACGACGAAACTCATAAAAGCAGCTACCATAAATGGAAGTGCGGTCATGGGAGTCGAAGCGCTAGATTGCTGTGCCGGGGTGGGGCTGTCTGACGTAGAGTTGTCTGCTGTAGAAGGAGCGTCAGTAGCTCCGACCGGCGCGAATGAGTCCGTGCCCGGTCTCGAGGAAGTACTCCAATCGAGGGAGTTGCCGGAGTCTACATCACTTGTGTTTTTTGGAGTGACACCGCAGTACTCCAGAAGTTGCTTGGCTGAGTGTTGCAGGCCCCAGAGATTGTAGCGGCAATCAGGCAGATTGTTGTACAGTTCTTGCAGCGCGGCCCTACAGGATGCTGTATCGCACATTGCGGTTGCATCCTCTGTAGTTACTTGCAGCATCGTACCGGATTGCAAGCTTAGCGCCTCCTCGCACTGATCCGCACGCTGGTTTGAGGTCAAAATGACTTGGCTCTCGTTCAGCTGCGTCGTGTTACACTCAGCAATAGCCGCAAGTTCGGCAGGAATAGAGGACGTGTCCGAAGTAGCAGGCGAAGACGCAGTTGATGGGGACGACTGTGCCGAGACGACGGCGGCTACTGGTGCCACAAACAGTACAAGCCTGATGATGCGCATGGTGTTTTGCGGTGTGTGACTTCTAAATGTTTGTTTTCCACAAAGATAATATTGTGCTCGAAACTCAGCAACATCCAAAGCTCTTTGTTAATTGTTAGTTTTGGTCTTGGATGTACTTTTATGCATAAAATTACGTAAGCTATTTCACTTTCATCACCTGCGTTTGTAGCTCTTTACATATTGCCTTTGATACGCATTGTCAAGCCGCAACTTTCTGAATCCGGATCTCATACCATGCTTGCACTCTGCCGCTTATTTTTGCTTTTTTATTCGAGTAGCAGAATTACAGCTTTGCGCGTATTTTAATGAATTTTTTGACTACTGGCTTCTTGATGGTATAAATATTTACTTCCATCAATCGAAGAGCATCCAAATATTGTATACCAAGTAACACGGACTGTAAGCTGTAAAATATGCACATTTATATATCACCATACAAAATTTGGGCTGCAGAGATAACATCGGCAAACTCTTGTGGCATATCCTGCATCACAGCCGATGATGGAGCCGTGTCATCCAAATGGAAATCAGGTAAAGATCTAGACACGGCAATCGCGTGGAGCAACATGCAAGACCATGACTTGCATGGTAGGTGTGAGTTGGGACGACAATTGCATGCGAGAATGCGTGGGTCTTCCTTCTTGTAGTGCACGTTGTCAACTCCGGACAATGACGGATTAAGCACACGAAGCCTATCCGCTGAAAGTGAGTGAATCACCGTACGAATTTGAAATTCGCTGCGCGAGCGAAGGAAAAGAAGCAACTTGGCGGACGACAATTCGATATTTAGCCTATCGATCACAAAACGGTGCAGCTGATATAGGGATGCTGACGGGTCGCAAACGCTACAAAGAGTTTCAACGAGCTCGTCCATATCAAGAAACTTTAAAGCATGACCTTCAAATGACAAAGCTTCAGCGTCGCCGTCGCTGCTCCTTGTACTGCCTTTTGAGCAGCTGTTTCGTATGAGAGTTTCGTCAGTTTCGGCACTATTGTGTGTCGTGTTCTCACCGGCATTTGATGGAGTAAATCTGCAGATTACCTTCTGGCTTGCAAAAGTCTTTCGACTTGCCTTGCTACATTTGATGCTGGAAGCTGTGGCATGTGTTTGTGAATCGATGTGGTTATCGCTTTTCATTAATTTTTCCTTATCTTCTGGCAAGCGCGGAAATTGTCGTCGAAGAATTTTAAGAGGAAGAGTGATGAATGTTTGCATCGATTCGGTATCGTACTCAGGCACCATGGCATCAACTGGTATTGGTAGCCTTCTTGAAACCGTATCTTGCGTTGGTTCATACTGTGCAGTAACACCACATGGTAAGCTGAGCATATACGACACAAAGTTAGATCATGGTACAATGGTAAGAAAGAAAATAATCATACTTGGCTTGAACGGCGGTGTAGTAAGACTTTGTTTGAGACCGACTAAACGATACCTGATGTGAAAATAAATCTCCTAGACTATTTAACTGGTAAATACTTGCACACTCAGAGCTCTCGTTGCGCATAGCACAAATTCCCGTTAAACGGGTATATTCCCCACCATCTTCCATTCGCAAATCTAAGTTTGCATCGGCAGCAACAAGTTGGCCCACACTTGAACTTGGTTTATCGATATACGCATCGTCATCTTCATTAAAACGCAGCGGTATAAGTGACATCACTTCACCGCGTTTTCGTTTGCGATTTTGTTCAAATGGGTACAGCGTTGTTATCTTGTGTCTTTTTAAGCTCGACAAAATGAATCCTTTGTAGAGCAAAATGAGTAGCGCAACAATGTACCATTTGACGATTTGTGTACCTTGTGAATCGTTTGCATTATTCGACATATTTACTTCGTCGATCGCTCCAAATGAAACATCCGGCTCACCAGAATAACTTTGCGGCTGGAGCCAAGATATGACAGGTTGCCTAGCCATGCGGCTGTCGAAAATTTCAATTGCGACACCCGTGCCAACTACGAACTGAAAAGGATTGCTATAAGAAAAGAAAACTCAAACTTGATCAGTTAAGAGTGCAAAATTATCACTGAAAAATACGCGCCTTGCTCTACGCCTGATATCATAAATGGTGACAAAAGTCCCAGCACCTGTTACATCGAACAACTTGCTCGCGATTTGTGGTGGCTCTCGAAGATCTAAAGTCGACACTGTGACTCGATTCGCCGCCCAAAGAACACAAGGATGACTGGAAATGTACGAGTGAGAATGGTCATAATAGCAATCAGATTATTTTTCGCACACCTCGAGTATTCACAGCGTAAAATACGGTCTGGGGTATAGGCTTCTTTTGTGATGGTCCGAATTCCTCCTTCTGGATCCCAGTAGCGTACGGTACCATCGACTGTAACCGAAGCCAACTCGGCTTCTGAATGTGGGCTTCCAGTAATGTGATTAATAACTAGCCCAGAAAACGATATCTTTGCTTTAGCTTGAATCTTTCGTACATTCTCAATTTTCGCTCTTGCTGGTGCTGCAAGAACTGTGCAATTTGTAATCCCTCGAGCAGCCGCAAGTACTTTCGCCGTTGTAGTCGAATGATACGCATCTTTGCTTCCCAGAACTGCAAATTGTCGAATTGGAGCGCCAGTTTCTATCACGTTGCTTGAACACGGCAGCTCCTCGATCGATTTGCCTTTACTGTACCATGCACAAGCTTGCTGCAGCACATGACCTGTAGGATAAAACACAATGTGACCATTCTGACCGCAGTCAACGCCTGCAATTGCATTGCCTTGCCACTTAGACAGATTGTAGCAATCCTCTTGTGGTCTATAGTAATACAATGATCAGCTTTACGTTTGATTGCCACATTATTGTTTCAACGTACGGACATTCATTCTCAAGAAACTCAATCATCAAGTCGTGCGGCACAAAGTCGCGGTAGTTGATTCGGTAAAATGAAGCTTGTGCCTTCCAATCTTTCTTTTTGATTTCCTTCTTCCCTGCCAAATGCCGCTGTAGCTTGTTACGCTGATGCGGCCGTAAGAATGAGTAGCCTAACGCATTACGCACAAGCAGACGCATGACGCCCCTTGCGTCCAATGCGCAACTGTCGGGGTCGACTCTTTGGCACACGTTATTAAGAAGGTTCGGCTTCAACGGCACATGGTCAGGATCGATACCTGCTATACCAACCCCAAGTCCAGTGGATGCTAGGACTGGAACTTCATTGGGATACACAAAAGTTGCCTCCATTTCACTTTTGTAACCTTTTTAGCTGGAGTGATTTTACCGCGTTTGATTGGTGCAAATGAAAGAGTGAAATGTCATGGGAGTTTCAGTCTCTTCCGTTTAATCCTTGTAATCCTTTCATTCTTGAAATTGCCAACAGTTATTCGAGTGGTTTCAAAGATGCGGATTCCTGCCATAATCAGTGCATATGTGTGCTTTTTGCTTACCACAGCTTTGAGCATCGATATCACGGAGTCTGAACTGCTGTTGCTTATTTCGTTGTCGCGCCATGGAAGTCGTGCACCGAATCCGTCAGTAAAAGCAAATTGTCCGAATAATTTACCAAACATCAAGTCGTATGATGTGCCACTTGAGCAGCTCACGGAGCGAGGAATGAAGGAAATGGAGGAGGTGGGTCAACATATTCGCAACGTCTATGTGCACGAAAAAGGCTTTCTATCTTCAACATTTAATGGACCAGAAGATGATCGTCATTTCGAGGGATATTTCCGAGCCGACGCTGCAAATCGATGTGGTCAAAGTGCAGTATCGATGGGTTATGGATTGTATCCCAACGGCACCGGCCCCGGTGGATACTCTCAGCAACCGATTCCAGTGTATATGCAATTGTTTGAGAATGAACACGATTTTACTGCTAACGGTCCTTGCTGGTCAGTTATGTCTGCAAACAATAAAGTATATACGAATGGTCGAGCAGCAATCGCCATCGAAAGGCACAAAAAGTCACTTGAAACGCTTGCTAATATTTGCGGAAAATTTTTTTACATTAGCAATGATCCAGTGACGGCGATCAAAGATGTGAATGACATGTTTCTTTTTGATCTAAACGAAGGTCATGATCCGCTTTTGGGACTTACGCCTGAGTTGTTGCAAGACATCTCTGAGCTTGCGTTTCAACATCTAATTGAGCGACTATATTCAACCCCTACTCAGATCACAGTTTCGATAGGAGGGTTTCCACAGCTTCTAATTCGAAACTTGCGTGAAGGCGCTTCGCCGAATAAAAACCCGGAAAACCCGAAGTATCTATCATATCATGGCCATCGTGAGCTTATGCATGGATTAGGTTTCATGATAGGCATGAAGTTTCAGTTTGAAGGTCTACCCAAATACAATGGTTCCACGCCATTGCATCCAGCTTCGACGCTGTTCTTTGAATTGCATCGCAAAGCTGACAATCATTTCGTGCAGATCTTCTTGTGGTCACCGTTTAGCCCCCGTACAGCCATCAAACTTGATACATGCGAACTAGAGTGTCCACTTAGTGATTTTACTGCCATTATCGAAAGCTTTATTAAGTCCACTGGTCCATGGCAAGACATTTGCTCGTACCACCCGGTAAATATGCCTGTCGTTAAGGATACCAAACCAAACGATGTGTATACTGACACAACTGGCAATATAAAAGATGCGCAAGTCGAAAAAGCAGGCGCTCTGTGGTCAATTGTAACGGCTAGTGGCTTTGTATCTCTAGGAACTATTGGTGGTATCACGTACCAGCGCTTCATGAGCCGTCGTGGCTATCAGCCCATGTGACTTGCTTCTGATAATCTTGATTGCATTTTATTGATTATATTAAATTGAATAGCCAAACATTCACCAGTCGCGCCGTTTTCTTTCTTACAAAGTATCTGCTTCCCGTGTGTCTCTTAGGATTTTCGTCATGAGAGCATTATCGACGTATCGATTTTAAATGCGTTGTTGCAGCTCAAAGAAGCAAAGATTCCCAACATTGTTTGCTATTGAATTTTCTGCTCCACGGGTACGACGGCGGTATTCGAGTGCTGGATAACTAGGATTTCGGGTCGATTTAAAGCGAGTCAGCATGATGAGAAAGAGTCATTGAACTTTGATACAATGTTGACATAGGTCGACTCCGTAGCACACGTTATTGAGGTTCGGCTTCAACGGTACATGGTCTGGATCGATACCTGCTATATCAACCCCGAGTCCAGTGGTTGCTAGAACTGGTACCTCATTGGAATACACAAAAGCTGCCTCCATTTCACTTCTGTAATTAGTTTCAACGAAGAGTGAAATGTCATAGCTGTTCCTTGATCCTTGTATTCATTCTTGAAATTGCCAGCAGATATTTAAAATCGCTTTAAAATTATTCCTGCTATACTCAGTGCATACTTGTATTTCCAGCTTTGAGCATCGATACCATGGGCTGCTTATATCCCACAGATTTGTGCTGCCCACTGTATAGTCAACTAAGGCTTTGTTCTTGCTACTAAACGCGTCGACTTTGACTGTGCTCGAGTCGCTGACATCGTATACAGCAAAGTTGCCGTGCATCGCGCAGAGAGGAAACTTGATCTAACAACTCCTCAACTAGAGGATGGTTCTGTAATTCACGCAGGAGCGAACTGTTTCATATAGATGTTTAGAACTAAGTATAATCTTAGCAAATATCTGTTAAACAGCAAAGAGTTAGAAGAATTGCCCATGTGTCTCTTGAATCTCTCCTCTAGAGTTTTCCATCATTTTCATCAGTAAAAGTACTTCGAAACTTCTGATGCAGCAGGGCTGCCGTAGCTCTTTCGCTTCGAGGATGCTAAGCTAAGGTCGGTGACCTTCGTTCTATGCTTAGAAATAGTACGAGTGTAGCGGATTGCAATCCGCTTACTC